TACGCATAAATAATAAACAGAGTAGCAGCAGCGTAAAAGAGGGGGGTGGGGTGGGGGGACAATGCAAATAGTCCGGGTAGCCATGACTGGCTGTTTAGGAGTCTTATGGCTTGGGGGTAGAAGCTGTTAATGGCACTCCGGTACCGCTTGCTGCGCGGTAACAGAGAGAACAGTCTATGACTAGGGTGGCTGGAGTCTTTGACAATTTTGAGGGCCTTCCTCTGACACCGCCTGGTATAGAGGTCCTGGATGGCAGGAAGCTTGGCCCCAGTGATGTACTGGGCCGTACGCACTACCCTCTGTAGTGCCTTGCGGTCGGAGGCCGAGCAGTTGCCATACCAGGCGGTGATGCAACCAGTCAGGATGCTCTCGATGGTGCAGCTGTATAACTTTTTGAGGATCTGAGGACCCATGCCAAATCTTTTCAGTCTCCTGAGGGGGAATAGCCTTTGTCGTGCCCCCTTCACGACTGTCTTGGTGTGTTTGGACCATGATAGTTTGTTGGTGATGTGGACACCAAGGAACTTGAAGCTCTCAACCTGTTCCACTACAGCCCCGTCAATGAGAATTGGGGGGTGCTCAGTCCTCTTGTTTTTCCTGTAGTCCACAATCATCTCCTTTGTCTTGATCACGTTGAGGGAGAGGTTGTGTCACGAGAATTTCTATCTCTAATACTCAAGCTCTGAATAATTCCCAGAGGGTGTAAGGCTCTGGTTTAATAATGAATTAAACAAATTCTCCAGTCTGCAAGAGATCAGCATTTTTATTCAATGAGAGCTCTGGCGCCAAAACCACACACAGCCTTTTTATATGCGTCCACACAAAGGACTTTGCTCCGCCCACCTTTAGGCGGCCAGTAAATTTCCACAGTATAGAATGTTTAAATAGGACAGTTTCTAAGTCTCCTTTCTCCTGGAATGTCTGTCTCAGCAGTTTCTAGCCCCCTTCTCTGTTAGCGGGTTTATTGTCTTAACTTTAACACAGTTTACACAGTCATACAGTATCAGGCTGGAAATCTTTGAGTCATTAATCTACACATACAAATTCCTCTATCAGGTTGTTATCCTGGCACCACACGGCCAGGTCTCTGACCTCCTCCCTATAGGTTGTCTCATCGTTGTCGGTGATCAGGCCTACCACTGTTGTGTCGTCGGCGAACTTAATGATGGTGATGGAGTCGTGCCTGGCCATGCAGTCATGGGTGAACAGGGAGTACAGGAGGGGACTGAGCACGCACCCCTGAGGGGCCCCCGTGTTGAGGATCAGCGTGGCAGATGTGTTGTTACCTACCCTTACCACCTGGGGGCAGCCCGTCAGGATGTCCAGGATCCAGTTGCAGAGGGAGGTGTTTAGTCCCAGGGTCCTTAGCTTAGTGATGAACTTTGAGGGCACTGTGGTGTTGAACGCTGAGCTGTAGTCAATGAATAGCATTCTCATGTAGGTGTTCCTCTTGTCCAGGTGGGAAAGGGCAGTGTGGAGTGCAATAGAGATTGCATCATCTGTTGGGGCTGTATGCAAATTGGAGTGGGTTTAGGGTTTCTGGGATGATGGTGTTGATGTGAGCCATGACCAGCCTTTCAAAGCACTTCATGGCTACAGATGTGAGTGCTACGGGTCGGTAGTCATTTAGGCAGGTTATCTTAGTGTCCTTGGGCACAGGGACTATGGTGGTCTGCGTGAAACATGTTGGTATTAGACTCAGTCAGGGACATGTTGAAAATGTCAGTGAAGACACTTGCCAGTTGGTCAGCGCATGCTCAGAGTACACGTCCTAGTAATCCGTCTGGCCGTGCGGCCTGAATGTTGACCTGCTTAAAAGTCTTACTCACATCGGCTACGGAGAGCGTGATCACATAGTCATCCGGAACAGCTGATGCTCTCATGCATGCTTCAGTGTTGCTTGCCTCGAAGCGAGCATAGAAGTGATTTAGCTCGTCTGGTAGGCTTGTGTCACTGTGCAGCTCAAGGCTGTGCTTCCCTTTGTAGTCTGTAATAGATTTCAAGCCCTGCCACATCCAACGAGCGTCAGAGCGTCAGCTAGTGTAGTACGATTCAGTCTTAGTCCTGTATTGACTCTTTGCCTGTTTGATGGTTCGTCGGAGGGCATAGCGGGAATTCTTATATGCGTCCGGGTTAGAGTCCGGCTCCTTGAAAGCGGCAGCTCTACCCTTTAGCTCAGTGCGGATGTTGCCTGTAATCCATGGCTTCTGGTTGGGGTATGTACGTACAGTCACTGTTGGGACGACGTCATCGATGCACTTATTGATGAAGCAAGTGACTGATGTGGTGTACTCCTCAATGCTATCGGAAGAATCCCGGAACATATTCTAGCAAAACAGTCCTGTAGCTTAGCATCCGCGTCATCTGACCACTTTTTTATTAACCGAGTCACTGGTGCTTCCTGCTTTAGTTTTTGCTTATAAGCAGGAATCAGGAGGATAGAGTTATGGTCAGATTTGCCAAATGGAGGGCGAGGGAGAGCTTTGTACACGTCTCTGTGTGTGGAGTAAAGGTGGTCTAGAGAATTTTTTTTTTTCTCTGGTTGCACATTTAACATGCTGGTAGAAATTAGGTAGTTACATGTTTGGGGCAAATCCAACACATCACTGAGGTACTCTTCATATTTTCAAGCATGATGGTGGCTGCATCATGTTATGGGTATGCTAGTCATCGACAAAATTCTGGAGGAAAACCTGGTTCAGTCAGGACAATTACCTAAAACACAAGGCCAAATATATACTGGAGTTGCTTACCAAGACGACATGTTCTTGAGTGGCCTAGTTAAAGTTTTGACTTCAATCGGCTTGAAAATCTATGGCAAGACTTGAAAATGGCTGTATAGCAATGATCAACAACCAACTTGACGAAGCTTGAAGAATTTAAAATATAATGTGCAAATGTTGTACAGTCCAGGGGTGCAAAGCTCTTAGAGACTTACTCAGAAAGACTCAGGGGTGTGAATACTTTTTTAAAATTAAATATTTCTGTATTTCATTTTTAATATATTTGCGAACATTTAAAAAAACATGTTTTCACTTTTATCGTTTTGGGGTGTTGTGGGAAAGGGGATACCTAGTCAGTCACACAACTGAATGCATTCAACCGAAATGTGTCTTCCGCATTTAATCGAACCCCTCTGAATCAGAGTGGTGCGGGGGGCTGCCTTAATCGACATCCACGTCATCGGCGCCAGTGGAGCAGTTGTTGTTGGGGGTTAACTGCCTTGCTCTGGGATTTGAACCAGCAACCTTTCGGATACTGGCCCAACGCTTTTAACCCCTAGGTTACCTGTGTGTAGATGGGTGAGAAAAAAACAAAAATTAATCAATTTTGAATTCAGGCTGTAATGCAACAAAATATGTAATAAGTCAAGGGCTATGAATATTTTCTGAAGGCACTGTATCTCCTAATAATATTGCCTGTTTGATGACTACTCATTGGACGACAACAAGCTACACGCGCCACTCATGAAATTATACAACATTTATCTCTCTGCGGGAAGCGCGATGTTGAATTCACGTGGAATTTTATGAATTTTTCTTATCATTTTAACGAAAGGTAGACTTTGGGCAAAAACACTAAAAATTACCGCTTTAAACTGTATAACTGATCAATGCACCATGAATTCCAGGTCATTTAATGGTAAACAAAAATAATGGATGAATAAGATATTTTGTTACACAAGTGCCAATTCTTACAGATCTCTACAGCTTCTGTCCAAAAACAAATCCTGTGAAATGACGTCAACACATACTGGAGGAGTTACTGGCTAGCTACAATGGCTAGATTAACTAATGAACTAGCTACGTCGGTCGTGGCGCGCATGACCAGAATGACACATCGATGAACCACGAAAGGCACACCCCATTTCTGTTTGAAAATTGAGAAAGAGGAGGAGTTGGACTGTTTTTCGCCCCAAAAGTCGACATTTAAGAACAAATTTCAGTTTGTCACGTCCCTAGTCTAGGGTAGACTTGGTGATCCCCCATGAAATCAGCCCTATAGCCTGTGTTCCTATGAACCCTATTTCTACTTGGCGAACACACACACACACACACCCACATGAACAGCGACCCAAGGCCAGTGGGGGAAAGTGCATGGTTGTTCAGCAGGAAGTACGTAATGTAGGAAAAGGTCAGTAGTACTAGCTGATCCACAGTGTCCCCCCACACACAGACACACACACACACACACACACACACACACACACACACACACACACACACAGAGAGAGAGAGCGCGTCTTCACCTCAGACACCCAGACCTTGGGCTCTCCCTCCCAACAACAGGTGTCTGTAGAAAAACACCAGCCTTGCCTGCCCCAGGGCCCACACGTGCTGGGGCCTGGAGGCTAGCCCACTCACTGCGTTTGCATGTGTTTCTCTCTGAACAACTAGGCCTACACAATGATGCTAATGAGTTAGCTTATTCTTTCTCGCGCTCTTTTTATCTCCCCCCTTTTCATTTAGAGTCTTAACAGCTGGCTCTCGTCTGCAACAGACTACCTCCAGGCCTGCATCAAAAACCTCTAACCTGGCCCATATGCTATGTGTCTGTGGGGGAGGCTGTTTCTGTCTCTCTGGGTTGGAGGTGCACTGGGTAAGGCTTGCTCAGCTGCAGAGGGATCTGTTGAATGAGACCAGTTCAAACTCTCTGTTATTACAGGTGTTTCCAGAAGAGACTGTGCTGGTTATGCTGTTCCATGTTTAAGCCTTTCATCGTCTCTCAATGTGTTGTTTTAACTGGGGAGAAGTGTTTCATGGATCTGATTGGATGTCTAACTTCGTAAAAGGCATTCCGATTGGACTATCACTGTATTCTGTGAGAGCAGCTCTGATTGGCTGCAACCCTATCCTCATGACCCACCACCGATTGGGAATAAATAATTCCTCTGTAACAGATCTGTACTAACTGGCTGTTCCCCTCCTCCCCAGCTGGGCGGCGATGGTGGTGCCATGACCAAGGGCGGCTGAGGGTCAGGGGAGAAGCCACGCAGCACCATGGAGGGCACCAGGGCCGCCATCTTAGCGCCGGTCAAAAGCAAAGCCCCTCAACGGGATCGGAAGCGGCGTGTCAGGGGTTCGGTAAGGAAAGGGGGAGTCAGCCAGAACGGAACCACCTCACCACATGGGGAGCGCACCTCGGTCAGAGAGAGGGGGCTGGAGTCATCCTTGGAGGTGCTGAAACCATCCCTGCTGTCGAAGGAGCTGGGAGAGAGAGTGGGGGAGAAGGAGAGGGCGCGAGGAGCGGAGGTGTCACCTGAGGGGGAGGAGGGCCTTGGCTCCTGGGACATGAACTCTCAGGACGAGGAGGTTGCGCAGCAGGAGAAGGGGAGTTGTAACAGCCACAGCACCTCCAATACGGACAGCCCTACCCTCTCCAGTAGCTGCACAGGTGGGACACACTCACACACACACACAAGACCTGGGTTCAAATACTATTTCAAATATCTGTTACTGTCACACAAATTTCATAGTAAGTATTGATTTTTCTTTTTTAATATTGGCATGTATTTGAAAATACTCAAATACACTCCCATGCCCATGGTATTTGAAAATAGTATTTGAAATATTTATAGGAAATTATTTGAAAATACTTCCAATTAGGGCTGTGACAGTCCTGGAATTTTGTATTACGGTTATTAGCCAGCCAAATGACCATAGTCAGCGTTATAATCATTGGATTGTTATTTTTAATTTATTTAAGATTCATAGTTTCTCCTCTGCTCCTGACTGCACGTGCTGCTGCAGGGAGGGAAGGTGTTGCCTAGGCTTGTTTGCTACAACACCTTGCTTGTTTCAGCAAGGAGCAACCAAGTTTAATCACGTTGTAAAGAGTCCATGTCACTGTGGAAACAGACTCAACCTCGCACATGCCAGGCTGTCCCATCTTCAGTTAGCTGTTCGTTACACACAACAACAACAAACGGTTACAAAGTTTTTTTCCCCATCCATAATCGTCGATTATACGGTATTTGTGCCAGCCCTACTTCCAATAGAAGTAGTTGATTCAGGCCACATTATTTGAAAATACTCAAATAGACAGAAAATTATTATTTAAATAACAAATAATCAAATACACATGTATTTGAACCCAGGTCTGACACACACACACACACACACACACACACACACACACACACACACACACACACACACAATTGAAATCTACAGAAATCTCCACTGTGGATAGCATTATAACTTTGACTAGTTGTTGTTGATGATTAGTGAAATGTGGCTCACCATGTGTGCTATATCTGTTTTGATCAGGGGTGTTCCTATAGCATAAACACAGCATCACCTTTTACTCTATTTATACTCACACAGTAAAGTCCCTGTGATATTTACTTTTAGACATGGCTCCTATAACCCAGTCCCCTCGTTAACGTGACTTGAAGGAACTCTGTGTTCCAATCTAGAACTGTGTGCTGATCTAGAACTTGAACTTCTAACATAGAACTCAGTGTTCTGATCTAAAACTCAGTGTGCTGATCTAGAACTGTTATTTTTTTTTGGGGGTGGGGGCGGGTGTTTTTTTGGTGATACATTGAGAATGAGTCAGACTACACTACACACTATTAGGGTTTCAAGTAAACAGTATCGCTGCAGATAAGCAACATCTAGTGTTTCCCTCGAAACGCCAACACTCTTGTCACACAACTTTGCCACTGAAACGTATTAATAACACCATTCTGCTCAGGCAGTGGGCAACAGGCAGCTTAAGTACTGACGGTAAAAACACTGGAGATGGAAAACAACTCCAGAGCTACTCACTGTTTGAGTTTGATAGTTTACCCCAAGGAGGCACATTAAGGTGGCAAGTGAGGGGCTTCATGTTTAAGCAGAGTTTACGTTATACGAATAGAAAAGCAAGTTCACTGAATTCCCAGTCATTAAAACCTAGTGTTGGACTGACTGACACACATGCACACTATGGCGCTTTCTCAATTCCTTGCACCTTCTCTCCTCGCCTCCTTCTCAGCCGTATTGGAGAAGACTCAAGGTCCCTCCCAACTGACCCTCTTCTCCAATGTGTTTTGAGAAGGAGGCAAGGAGAGATGATGTGAGGAATGGAGGAAATATTAATTGGGAAAGAGGCTCAGAGAGGAAAGTGGTCATGGAGGAGGCATGGAGCACCACCTCGGCTGGTCTCAGTCAATCTGTTCTCACTCTGGGGGAGTTATTTCTCCTCGTGATGAATTCCTCAGGCGCCTCTGCCTCTCCTCCCACACAGAGGAACTCAGACACTCTTCCTTCTCTCTCTCGCTCTCTGTGTGGCTCTCCGCTGCCCGGCCTGCCCCTGCTGTGCTGGGTTTCCCATGTTTTCATCCTGGCCTAGCCTAGTAGCGTAGCCCTGACCTCAGGTTAGGTCTAAAATTAAATGGATAGAATAAAACACCCATAACATGGTCCTAAATTCTCAAGTGGAACATTGCATTGAAGTGGATTGTCTCTTCTACCCCACTCTATTTCTATGGGGTGTAGCAGAGTGGATAGAACAGAATGCACTTGGTTCCAAATTCTGAAATGGAACGTTGCCTTATAATGGAATTTCCTCCTTGACATTCTAGTTTTAAACAGGGTGTTGGAGAGATCCCACTAGAAACAGAACGGATAGAACAGAACACATGGTTGGAACAGAATGTGTAGAATGGAACGCACATGGTTCTAAATTCTGAAATGGAACATCACTTGAATCGTATTGTCTCTCTTAGCCAGTGTAATTCTATGGTGTCTCCTACCCCTGGCATTCCTAGCGTAGCTCCTGGGCTCCACTGGGAGAACCCTTTGGCAGGCATCGGCAGAGATTACAACTCATGGAGGGAGCAGGCTGGAACTCACCAGCATTGGGCAGATCCCTGACACACACACATTTACACAGTGGTGGAAAAAGTACTCAATTCTCATACTTGAGTAAAAGTTAAGATACTTTTACTCGAGTCATTTTCTATTAAGTTGAGTCACCCAGTAAAATACTAGAGTAAAACTCTAAAAGTATTTTGTTTTAAATATACTTAAGTATCAAAAGTACAGTCGTGGTGAAACGTTTTGAGAATGACACAAATACTAATTTTCACAAAGTTTGCTGCCTCAGTTTTGATGATGGCAATTTGCATATACTCCAGAATGTCATGAAGAGTGATCAGATGAATTGCAATTAATTGCAAAGTCCCTCTTTGCCATGAAAATGAACTTAATCCCCCCAAAAAACATTTCCACTCCATTCTCAGCCCTGCCCCAAAAGGACCAGCTGACATCATGTCAGTGATTCTCTCGTTAACACATGTGAGAGTGTTGACGAGGACAAGGCTGGAGATCACTCTGTCATGCTGATTGAGTTAGAATAACAGACTGGAAGCTTTAAAAGGAAGGTGGTACTTGAAATCATTGTTCTTAATATATGCCATTTAGCAGACGCTTTTATCCAAAGCGACTTACAGTCATGCGTGCATACATTTTTGTGTATGGGTGGTCCCGGGGATCGAACCCACTACCTTGGCGTTACAAGCGCCGTGCTCTACCAGCTGAGCTACAGAGGACCACGGTTAACCATGGTTACCTGCAAGGAAACATCATTGCTTTGCACAAAAAGGGCTTCACAGGCAAGGATATTGCTGCTAGTAAGATTGCATCTAAATCAACCATTTATCTGATCATCAAGAACTTCAAGGAGAGAGGTTCAATTGTTGTGAAGAATGCTTCAGGTCGCCCAAGAAGGCAGAAAGCATCAGGACCGTCTCCTAAAGTTGATTCAGCTGCGGGATCGGGACACCACCAGTGCAGAGCTTGCTCAGGAATGGCAGCAGGCAGGTGTGAGTGCATCTGCACGCACAGTGAGGCAAATACTTTTGGAGGATGGCCTGGTGTCAAGAAGGGCAGCAAAGAAGCCACTTCTCTCCAGGAAAAACATCAGGGACCCACAGATATTCTGCAAAAGGTACAGGGATTGGACTGCTGAGGACTGGGGTAAAGTCATTTTCTCTGAATCCCCTTTCCGATTGTTTGGGGCATCCGGAAAACACCTTGTCCGGAGAAGACAAGGTGAGCGCTACCATCAGTCCTGTGTCATGCCAACAGTAAAGCATCATGAGACCATTCATGTGTGGGGTTGCTTCTCAGCCAAGGGAGTGGGCTCACTCACAATTTTTCCTAAGAACACAGCCATAAATAAAGAATGGTACCTCCGAGTGCAACTTCTCCCAACCATCCAAGAACAGTTTGGTGACGACCAATGCCTTTTCCAGCATGATGGAGCACCTTGCCTTAAGGCAAAAGTGATAACTAAGTGGCTCAGGGAACAAAACATCAAGATTTTGGGTCCATGTCCAGGAAACTTCCCAGACCTTAATCCCATTGAGAACTTGTGGTCAATCCTCAAGAGGCGGGTGGACAAACAAAACCCCACAAATTCTGACAAACTCCAAGCATTGATTATGCAAGAATGGGCTGCCATCAGTCAGGATGTGGCCCAGAAGTTAATTGACAGCATGCCAGGGCGGATTGCAGAGGTCTTGAAAAAGATGGGTCAACACTGCAAATATTGACTTTTTGCATAAACTTCATGTAATTGTCAATAAAAGCCTTTGACACTTATGGAATGCTTGTAATTATACTTCAGTATACCATAGTAACATCTGACAAAAATATCTCATAACACTGAAGCAGCGAACTTTGTGAAGACCAATACTTGTGTCATTCTCAAAACTTTTGACCACGACTGTAAATGTAATTGCACACCAACACTGACATTTACAAACAAAGCATTTGTGTTTAGTTAGTCCTCCAGATCAGAGGCAGTAGGGATGACCAGAGTTGTTCTCTTGATAAGTGCAGGAATTTGACCATTTTGGCTATCAGGGAAGTACTTTTGGGTGTCAGGGAAAATGTATGGAGTAAAAAGTACATTATTTTCTTTAGGAATGTAGTGAAGTAAAAGTATTCAAAAATATAAAAAGTAAAGTACAAATACCACCAAAAACTACTTAAGTAGTACTTTAAAGTTGTTTTACTTAAGTACTTTACACCATTGCATTTACACATATAGAAACATGCACGTAAACACGTGCGCAAGTGCACATACGCCAAAAATATCCTCAGCAATCTACACACAGTCTACACCCCGTAATGGCAAAGCAAAAACAGGTTTGTAGACATTTTGGGACGTTTTTATTAGATATGTAAATAAGGTATTTCCGTTTTTTATAAGTATTCAGACCCTTTGCTATGGGACTCTAAATTGAGTTTAGGTGCATCCGGTTTCCATTGATCATCCTTGAGATGTTTCTACAACTTGATTGGAGTCCACCTGTGGTAAATTCAATTGATTGGACATGATTTGGAAAGGCACACACCTGTCTGTATAAGGTCCCACAGATGACAGTGCATGTCAGAGCAAAAACCAAGCCATGCGGTCGAAGGAATTCTCCTTAGAGCTCCGAGACAGGATTGTGTCATCCTTAAATGGAAGAAGTTTGGAACCACCAAGACTCTTCATAGAGCTGGCCGCCTGGCCAAACTGAGCAATCGGGGGCGAAGAACCTTGGTCAGGGAGGTCACCAAGAACCCGATGGTCACTCTGATAGAGCTCTAGAGTTCCTCTGTGGAAATGGGAGAACCTTCCAGAAGGACAACCATCTCTGCAGCATTCCACCAATCAGGCCTTTATGGTAGAGTGGCCAGACGGAAGCCACTCCTCAGTAAAAGGCACATGACAGCCCGCTTGGAGTTTGCCAAAAGGCACCTAAAGACTCTCAGACCATGAGAAACAAGATTCTCTGGTCTGATGAAACCAAGATTGAACTCTGTGGCGCAGTGGTCTAAGGCACTGCATCGCAGTGCTAACTGTGCCACTAGAGATCCTGGTTCGAATCTAGGCTCTGTCGCAGCCGGCCGCGACCGGGAGACTCATGGGCGGCGCACAATTGGCCCAGCGTCGTCCAGGGTAGGGGAGGGAATGGCCGGCAGGGATGTAGCTCAGTTGATAGAGCATGGCGTTTGCAACGCCAGGGTTGTGGGTTCGATTCCCACGGGGGGCCAGTATAAAAATAAAATACAAAATAAAATAAATTATTCACTAACTGTAAGTCGCTCTGGATAAGAGCGTCTGCTAAATGACAAAAAAATATATATATACACTGCTCAAAAAAATAAAGGGAACACTAAAATAAAACATCCTAGATCTGAATGAATGAAATAATCTTATTAAATACTTTTTTCTTTACATAGTTGAAAGTGCTGACAACAAAATCACACAAAAATTATCAATGGAAATGAAATGTATCAACCCATGGAGGTCTGGATTTGGAGTCACCCTCAAAATTAAAGTGGAAAACCACACTACAGGCTGATCCAACTTTGATGTAATGTCCTTAAAACAAGTCAAAATGAGGCTCAGTAGTGTGTGTGGCCTCCACGTGCCTGTATGACCTCCCTACAACGCCTGGGCATGCTCCTGATGAGGTGGCGGATGGTCTCCTGAGGGATCTCCTCCCAGACCTGGACTAAAGCATCCGGCAACTCCTGGACAGTCTGTGGTGCAACGTGGCATTGGTGGATGGAGTGAGACATTATGTCCCAGATGTGCTCAATTGGATTCAGGTCTGGGGAACGGGCGGGCCAGTCCATAGCATCAATGCTTTCCTCTTGCAGGAACTGCTGACACACTCCAGCCACATGAGGTCTAGCATTGTCTTGCATTAGGAGGAACCCAGGGCCAACCGCACCAGCATATGGTCTCACAAGGGGTCTGAGGATCTCATCTCGGTACCTAATGGCAGTCAGACTACCTCTGGCGAGCACATGGAGGGCTGTGCGGCCCCCCAAAGAAATGCCACCCCACACCAGGACTGACCCACCGCCAAACCGGTCATGCTGGAGGATGTTGCAGGCAGCAGAATGTTCTCCACGGTGTCTCCAGACTCTGTCACGTCTGTCACATGCTCAGTGTGAATTTGCTTTCATCTGTGAAGAGCACAGGGCGCCAGTGGCGAATTTGCCAATCTTGGTGTTCTCTGGCAAATGCCAAACGTCCTGCACGGTGTTGGGCTGTAAGCACAACCCCCACCTGTGGACGTCGGGCCCTCATACCACCCTCATGGAGTCTGTTTCTGACCGTTTGATCAGACACATGCACATTTGTGGCCTGCTGGAGGTCATTTTGCAGGGCTCTGGCAGTGCTCCTCCTGCTCCTCCTTGCACAAAGGCGGAGGTAGCGGTCCTGCTGCTGGGTTGTTGCCCTCCTACGGCCTCCTCCACGTCTCCTGATGTACTGGCCTGTCTCCTGGTAGCGCCTCCATGCTCTGGACACTACGCTGACAGACACAGCAAACCTTCTTGCCACAGCTCGCATTGATGTGCCATCCTGGATGAGCTGCACTACCTGAGCCACTTGTGTGGGTTGTAGACTCCGTCTCATGCTACCACTAGAGTGAAAGCACCGCCAGCATTCAAAAGTGACCAAAACATCAGCCAGGAAGCATAGGAACTGAGAAGTGGTCTGTGGTCACCACATGCAAAACCAGTCCTTTATTGGGGGTGTCTTGCTAATTGCCTATAATTTCCACCTGTTGTCTATTCCATTTGCACAACAGCATGTGACATTTATTGTCAATCAGTGTTGCTTCCTAAGTGGACAGTTTGATTTCACAGAAGTGTGATTGACTTGGAGTTATATTGTGTTGTTTAAGTGTTCCCTTTATTTTTTTGAGCAGTGTATATATTTTTTTGGCCTGAATGCCAAGTGTCACGTCTGGAGGAAACCTGGCACCATCCCTACGGTGAAGCATGGTGGTGGCAGAATCATGCTGTGGGGATGTTTTTCAGCTGCAGATACTGAGAGACTAGTCGGGATCGAGGGAAAGATGAACGGAGCAAAGTACAGAGAAATCCTTGATGAAAACCTGCTGCATAGAGCTCAGGACCTCAGACTGGGGCGAATGTTCACCTTCCAACAGGACAATGACCCTAGGCACACAGCCAAGACAACGCAGGAGTGGCTTCGGGACAAGTCTCTGAATATCCTTGAGTGGCCCAGCCAGAGCCCGGAATTGAACCCTATCTAACATCTCTCGAGAGACCTGAAAATAGCTGTGCAGCAACACTCCCCATTCAACCTAACAGAGCTTGACAGGATCTGCAGAGAAGAATGTGAGAAACTCCACAAATACAAGGGTGCGAAGCTTGTAGCGTCATACCCAAGAAGACTGGAGGCTGTAATCGCTGCCAAAGGTGCTTCAACAAAGTACTGAGTAAACGGTCTGAATACTTATGTAAATGTAATATTTCATTATTTTTTTAAATTAAAATGTCTAAAAACCTGTTTTTGCTCTGTCATTATGGGGTATTGTGTTTAGATTGATGAGGGGGGGAAACAATTTAATCAATTTTAGAAAAAGGTTGCAACCTAACAATATGTGGAAAAAGTCAAGGGGTCTGAACTTTCCGAAGGCACTGAGTAATTGGACTGTTCAGTAGTCGCAAATTAATACCAGTACATTTATTTGACGAGGAGATGTTCCTTGTCTGGTCATGTGATCAGGACAAACTCCTGTCCCTAGGTAAAGTCAGTCAGGGATTCAGGGCCCTAGAATAAGGAGGGCCTGTTGTCTGGACCTCTGGCAGTCTCTATGGGGGTGCCACAGGGTGCAATTCTCGGGCCGACTCTATTCGCTGTGTATATCAATGATGTCGCTCTTGCTGCTGGTGACTCTCAGAACCACCTCTACGCAGACGACACCATTTTGTATACATCTGGCCCTTCATTGGACACTGTGTTAACAAACCTCCAAACGAGCTTCAATGCCATACAACACTCCTTTCGTGGCCTCCAACTGCTCTTAAACACAAGTAAAACTAAATGCATGCTCTTCAATCGAACGCTGCTTGCACCCGCCCGCCTGACTAGAATCACTACTCTCGGCGGGTCTGACTTAGAATATGTGGACAACTACAAATACCTAGGTGTCTGGTTAGACCGTAAACTCTCCTTCCAGACTCACATTAAGCATCTCCAATCCAAAGTTAAATCTAGAATCGGCTTCCTATTTCGCAACAAAGCCTCCTTCACTCATGCTGCTAAACATGCCCTCGTAAAACTGACTATCCTACCGATCCTTGACTTCGGCGACGTCATTTACAAAATAGCTTCCAACACTCAACTCAGCAAATTGGATGTAGTCTATCACAGTGCCATCCGTTTTGTCACCAAAGCCCCATATACTACCCACCATTGTGACCTGTACGCTCTCGTTGGCTGGCCCTCACTACATATTCGTTGCCAAACTCACTGGCTCCAGGTCATCTATAAATCACTTCTAGGCAAATCCCGCCTTATCTTAGTTCATTGGTCACCATAGCAACACCCACCCGTAGTATGCGCTCCAGCAGGTATATCTCACTGGTCACCCCCAAAGCCAACACCTCCTTTGGCCGCCATTCCTTCCAGTTGTCTGCTGCAAAAATCTCTGAAGCTGGAGACACTTATCTCCCTCACTAACTTTAAGCATCAGTTGTCAGAGAAGCTTACCGATCACTGTACCTGTACACAGCCCATCTGTAATTAGCCCACCCAACTACCTCATCCCCATATTGTTATTTACATTGTTATTTATTTTGCTCATTTGCACCCCAGTATCTCTATTTGCACATCTTCTGCACATCTATCACTCCAGTGTTAATACTAAATTGTAATTATTTCGCACTATGGCCTATTTATTGCCTTACCTCCATAACTTACTACATTTGCACACACTGTATATAGATTTTCTATTTTCTATTGTGTTATTGACTGTGTGTTTTTGTTTACCCCATATGTAACTCTGTTGTTGTTGTTGTTTTTATCTCACTGCTTTGCTTTATCTTGGCCAGGTCACAGTTGTAAATGAGAACTTGTTCTCAACTGGCTTACCTGGTTAAATAAAGATAACAGAACCTTCCCTTGTCTATCTGTCTCCAGATCTGTCCCAGACGTCGTCTCCATCGCTGTCGGACCAACTCCTCCTGGGTCGAGAGGATGGGACGGTGGCCGGGATCAATGTGGAATGTCGGATCTGTGGAGACAAGGCCTCTGGGTTCCACTATGGAGTACATGCCTGTGAGGGTTGCAAGGTGAGTAAGCAGGGATTGAAGGGATGGGAAGATCCCAGGAGGCTCCCAGGATGTGTTACATAAAATGTATTGGAGCAGCTCTTTGCATAGTTTATGAATGATGAAGTCTACTGCTCTATATATCTAATAAACCCTTTCTCACTGTTTTTGCTTTCTCCCCCCCACTGACTCTGTTTCTCTCAGGGGTTTTTCCGGCGGACCATTCGTATGAAGCTGGAGTACGAGCGCTGTGAGCGCAGCTGTAAGATCCAGAAGAAAAGCAGAAACAAGTGCCAGTACTGCCGCTTCCAGAAGTGCCTGCTGCTGGGCATGTCCCATGACGGTGAGACACACACACTAACCACCTTCCCATTCCCACATTTTGTCTAGAGAACGTCAGGGATGTACCCCATCAGTGAGTTTTCCTGCTTGTTCCCAGCAATCCGGTATGGCCGCATGCCGGAGGCGGAGAAGAGGAAGCTGGTGGCGGGCCTCCTGGCGGGAGAGAGAGCCCCGACCATCAACCCCAACGGCTCGGACCTCAAATCCCTGGCCAAGCGGGTCAACAATGCCTACCTGAAGAACCTCAACATGACCAAGAAGAAGGCCCGCAGCATCCTCACCGGCAAGACCAGCGTCAGCCCAGTAGCGTATCCATATGTAAATGAAATATACTGAACAAAAATATAAATGCAACATGCAACAATTTCAACGATTTTACTGAGTTACAGTTCAAGGAAATCAGTCAGTTGAAATAAATTCATTAGGCCCTAATCTATCCACCCACTGGGGAGCCAGGCACAGCCAATCAGAATGAGTTTTTCCCCACAAGAGGGCTTTAATACAGACAGAAATACTTTTCAGTTTCATCAGCTGTCCGGGTGGCTGGTCTCAGACAATCCTGCAGGTGAAGAAGCCGGATGTGAAGGTCCTGGGCTGGCGTGGTTACAATGTGGTCTGCGGTTGTGAGGCTGGTTGGACGTACTGCCAAATTCTCTAAAACGATGTTGGAGGCGGCTTATGGTATTAGAGAAATTAAAATGCAATTATCTGGCAACAGTTCTAGTGGACATTCCTGCAGTCAGCATGCCAATTGCACGCTCCCTCAACTTGAGACATCTGTGGCAATGAGTTGTGAGACAACTGCACATTTCAGAGTGGCCTTTTATTGTCCCCAGCACAAGGTGCACCTGTGTAATGATCATGCTGTTTAATCAGCTTCTTGATATGCCACACCTGTCAGGTGGATGGATTATCTTGGCAAAGGAGAAATGCTCACTAACAGGGATGTAAACAAATTTGTGCATACAATTTGAGAGAAATAGGCTTTTTATGCGAATGAGACATTTCAGGGATCTTTTTTCTTTCAGCTCATGGAACATGGGACCAACACTTGCGTTTATATTTTTGTTCAGTATACATATAACACTTTAACACCAGCTCCATACTCTTTCCATATGTAAATATTATACATTTCATATATTTTAACACCAGGTCAGCTCAATACTCTATCCATATGTAAATATGATACATATAATATATGAACTTCAGCTACAGTGTCGTACAGTACAGACACATAATACTTTAACACCAGCTGTAGCCCAGTACTGTGTATACATATTCTGCATACTGACTATAAAGCATATGATACCCTCAGACCAGCTCCGATTTTCATCTGGATTAACCTCCTAGAGTCGATGTTAGTATGTGGACATCTAATTAACATAATACAAAAGTCCCCATCAAAATCTGTCAGTTTAAGCTGTGGTTCAATCCACTGCATATGCTGATGTCTCCCTTTCGCATCTGCGGTGAAAGGTGGCAGTGCTAGAGCAGTGTTTGTCAGACCACGAGACATCCCAAAAATCGGTGTTCTCACAAAAACTTCTGTAGCGTCCGAAGGCTTTGGCCCACAAACTATAATGACCACTCTATGGAAAGATGAGACTCTCACAAACACATTGGGTTTGCTTTACGGCCCCCACAAGCGTCACAGGATTTATCTGAAGTCGGTACATCCAATCTGCCAACTTCTGTCTGTAGCGTCTGAACCGTTTCGGCTACACACTAATATGAGGCGAGTCTCTTACGAACACAAACATGTTGATTGTTTTGCTCTAGGACGCTCACAAGCCTCACAAGACTAGTCTGAATGTAGTCCGGTACCAGTTGAAGTTAATGGAAGTGCATTCGGAAAGTATTCAGACCCCTTTACTTTTTCCACATTTTGTTGTGTTACAGCCATATTCTAAAATGATTAAGATTTTTTTATTGTATTTATTTACACACAATACCCCATAATGACAAAGCAAAAATAGGTTTTTAGACATTTTTGCAAAAAAAAGACTGAAATCACATTTACATAAGTATTCAGAGTACTTTGTTGGAACACCTTTGGCAGCAATTACAGCCTCAAGTCTTCTTGGGTATGACGCTACAAGCTTTGCGCACCTTTATTTGGAGAGTTTCTCCCATTCTTCTCTGCAGATCCTCTCAAGCGCCGTCATGTTGGATGGGGAGCGTCGTTGCACAGAGATGGGTTAAAGTCCGGGCTCTGGCTGGGCCACTCAAGGACATTCAGAGACTTGTCCTGAAGCCACTCCTGCGTTGTCTTGGCTGTGTGCTTAGGGTCGTTGTCCTGTTGGAAGGTGAACCTTCACCCCAGTCTGAGGTCCTGAGTGCTCTGGAGCAGGTTTTCATCAAGGATCTCTCTGTACTTTGCTCCGTTCATCTTTCCCTCGATCCTGACTAGTCTCCCAGTGCCTGCCGCTGAAAAACATCCCCACAGCATGATGCTGCCACCACCATGCTTCACCGTAGGGATGGTGCCAGGTTTCCTCCAGACGTGACGCTTGGAATTCAGGCCAAAGAGTTCAATCTTGGTTTCATCAGACCAGAGAATCTTGTTTCTCATGGTCTGAGAGTCCTTTAGGTGCCTTTTGGCAAACTCCAAGTGGGCTGTCGTGCATTTTACTGAGGAGTGGCTTCCGTTTGGCCACTCTACTATAAAGGCCTGATTGTTGGAGTGCTGCAGAGATGGTTGTCCTTCTGGAAGGTTCTCCCATCTCCACCAAGGTACTCTGGAGCTCTGTCAGTGACCATCGGGTTCATGGTCACCTCCCTGACCAAGGCCGTTCTCCCCCGATTGCTCAGTTTGGCCAGGTGCCCAGCTCTAGGAAGAGTCTTGGTGGTTCCGAACTTCTCCCATTTAAGAATGATGGAGGCCACTGTGTTTCTTGGGGACCTTCAATGCTGCAGACAGTTTTTGGTACCCTTCCCCAGATCTGTGCTTCGACACAATCCTGTCTCAGAGCTCTACGGACAATTCCTTCGACCTCATTGCTTGGTTTTTGCTATGACATGCACTGTCAATTGTGGGACCTTATATAGACAGGCGTGTGCTTTTCTAAATCATGTCCAATCAATTGAATTTACCACAGGTGGACTTGTTGTAGAAACATCTCAAGGATGATCAATGGAAACAGGACGCACCTGAGCTCAATTTCGAGTTTCATAGCAAAGGGTCTGAATACTTATGTAAATAAGGTATTTAAAATAAAAAATGCAAAAATGTCTAAACCTGTTTTCGTTTTGTCATTATGGGGTAATGTGTATAGGTTGATGGAAAAAAGTTATTTCATCCTTCTTTGGATAAGTCTGTAACGTAACAATGTGGAAAAAGTCAAGGGGTCTGAATACTTTATGAATGCACTGTATATTTGGAGATAGTTTAGTGTCTAAAATAAAGGGTTAATAAAATAGTTTCCTGATCTTCTTATATCTCTCAGACACTATGGGCTGATAGCAGTAAGGCCAAAATCAATGTTTCATCAAACCAATAATATATATTTTTTAAATTATACCTTAAGTCATTTCCATGCACTTCAATTGTGTCCATGGCCTTTTCTGATTCTGTCGTTTCAATCAACACTAATTGAAGCAACAGGTATGTAGCCTTTACTCTAGAATGGCAGTCTGGAAACAGGAGCACCAAGTGGCACAGCTGCACTAAAACTTCACTTCTGTTCACACTGCCTAGCTTTCCAGTAGTGTTGGTTGCCTAGCAGCTGTGTATAAACTTGTTGTAAAAACCCTGGTTGTCTCAAGGCCTTATCACTGTTGTGTCTAAGATGGGGAGGACAGGAGAACGGGCCAAATTGTCAGTGTCACTGTTATTTTACAGGCTGGCTGTATGCAAACACAATTTCTTCCTATCAGTGTACCTTCCTAAACCAGGCCCAGGCAGAATGCAATTTCAAGTGAAAAGTCTTACTATTATTATACTTCTATTTATTAACTACAGTGGGGAGAACAAGTATTTGATACACTGCCGATTTTGCAGGTTTTCCTACTTACAAAGCATGTAGAGGTCTGTAATTTTTATCATAGGTACACTTCAACTGTGAGAGACGGAATCTAAAACAAAAATCCAGAAAATCACATTGTATGATTTTTAAGTAAATAATTTGCAATTTATTGCATGATATAAGTATTTGATACATCAGAAAAGCAGAACTTAATATTTGGTACAGAAACCTTTGTTTGCAATTACAGAGATCATACGTTTCCTGTAGGTCTTGACCAGGTTTGCACACACTGCAGCAGGGATTTTGGCCCACTCCTCCATACAGACCTTCTCCAGATCCTTCAGGTTTCGGGGCTGTCGCTGGGCAATACGGACTTTCAGCTCCCTCCAAAGATTTTCTATTGGGTTCAGGTCTGGAGACTGGCTAGGCCACTCCAGGACCTTGAGATGCTTCTTACGGAGCCACTCCTTAGTTGCCCTGGCTGTGTGTTTCGGGTCGTTGTCATGCTGGAAGACCCAGCCACGACCCATCTTCAATGCTCTTACTGAGGGAAGGAGGTTGTTGACCAAGATCTCGCGATACATGGCCCCATCCATCCTCCCCTCAATACGGTGCAGTCGTCCTGTCCCCTTTGCAGAAAAGCATCCCCAAAGAATGATGTTTCCACCTCCATGCTTCACGGTTGGGATGGTGTTCTTGGGGTTGTACTCATCCTTCTTCTTCCTCCAAACACGGCGAGTGGAGTTTAGACCAAAAAGCTCTATTTCTGTCTCATCAGACCACATGACCTTCTCCCATTCCTCCTCTGGATCATCCAGATGGTCATTGGCAAACTTCAGACGGGCCTGGACATGCGCTGGCTTGAGCAGGGGGACCTTGCGTGCGCTGTAGGAATTTTATCCATGACGCCGTATTGTGTTACTAATGGTTTTCTTTGAGACTGTGGTCCCAGCTCTCTTCAGGTCATTGACCAGGTCCTGCCGTGTAGTTCTGGGCTGATCCCTCACCTTCCTCATGATCATTGATGCCCCACGAGGTGAGATCTTGCATGGAGCCCCAGACTGAGGGGGATTGATCATCTTGAACTTCTTCCATTTTCTAATAATTGCGCCAACAGTTGTTGCCTTCTCACCAAGCTGCTTGCCTATTGTCCTGTATCCCATCCCAGCCTTGTGTAGGTCTACAATTTTATCCCTGATGTCCTTACACAGCTCTCTGGTCTTGGCCATTGTGGAGAGGTTGGAGTCTGTTTTGATTGAGTGTGTGGACAGGTGTCTTTTATACAGGTAACGAGTTCAAACAGGTGCAGTTAATACAGGTAATGAGTGGAGAACAGGAGGGCTTCTTAAAGAAAAACGAACTGGTCTGTGAAAGCCGGAATTCTTACTGGTTGGTAGTTGATCAAATACTTATGTCATGCAATAAAATGCAAATTAATTACTTAAAAATCATACAATGTGATTTTCTGGATTTTTGTTTTAGATTCTGTCTCTCACAGTTGAAGTGTACCTATGATAAAAATTACCGACCTCTACATGCTTTGTAAGTAGGAAAACCTGCAAAATCGGCAGTGTATCAAATACTTGTTCTCCCCACTGTAAATGTCTTCTCTCTCTCTCCCTTCCTTTCTTTGTCTTTTTTCTTCCCCTCCTCTGCAGCCCTTTGTGATTCACGACATGGACTCGTTGTGCCAGGCTGAGAACGGGCTGGTGTGGAAACAGCTGATCAACGGCACGCCCCCCAACAAGGAGATAGGGGTACACGTGTTCTACCGCTGCCAGTGCACCACAGTGGAGACGGTCAGGGAGCTCACTGAGTTCGCCAAGAGCATCCCCGGCTTCGTAGACCTCTTCCTTAACGACCAGGTAAATATAGCAACACTACATTGTCAGTCAATCAATCAAGACCAGGTACAGAACAGCAACACAACATTCCATCAAATCATTAATCAATAGTTTTGTTGTCCAAGTTGGAAAGTCATTGTACAGCCAGGAATTTTATATATAGTAAGCTATAATATAGTTAACCAATAAGGCCGGAGGAGGTGTGGTATATTGGCCATTTATATACTGGGTGGTTCGAGCCCTGAATGCTGATTGACTGAAAGCCGTGGGTATATCAGACCGTATACCACGGGTATGACAAAACATTACTTTTTCCTGCTCTAATTACGTTGGTAACCAGTTTATAATAGCAATAAGGCACCTTGGGCGTTTGTGATAATGGCCAATATACCAAACTAAGGGCTATGTCCAGGCACTCCACGTGCATAAAAACAGCCCTTAGCCAGTGTATATTGGCCATATACCACACCCCCTCATGCCTTATTGCTTAATTATAAACTGGGTCGTTTGTGTCCTGGAGGCTGATTGGCTGAAACAACAGCATTTCAGCCGTGTGTAAGACAATCAGGGTTTCTGTTAGGAAAATGTGGCGCCGGACAACGTGACCGGGAAGAATTTAATTTACTGGCCATTTGAGAAATATTCCAGACCAATATCCATTGGGTGCATATCCCATTAGGGCGTCCACCCACGGTGCTCAGAATGACAGAAGTCACATTTATCTTAATAGGACATGCTACTCATGTAATGAAGCAGCCAATAAAACTTCTTTTTTTTAATTTGTTAAAATGCAATTAGTGGGAAAACACCATTCTAAACAGTGCACCTGATAGCGGTTCCATATGTGACAGATGAATATCTCTGTTAGAAACTTAGAAAGAGGGGTAATCTAAAGATGCAACAACTAGGATGGGTTGCTTATATGACTAAGATTGTGCCTTTGGCCCTGGACAATGAAAGAAAGTTGATATGAAAGCCAATAGAACAGGAGAGAAATGGCATAGCGGTGTGTCCAATAGAGAAGTAAATGGAAATATTTGCTGTCGATACAGAAATAAATAAAATATTTCACCAGAAAGCATGACTAAGCCACAGAGGGATCGAGGATCATTAGCTGTTTGTTTTTTTATATTGCTGTGGATTGTTTCAATTGCTGATGATCTCACATTAGTTGACTTTTAGTTTGTATTATTTTAATTCAGTTGTATGATTAATTGCTTGACAATGATTTTGAGAAATGAAAACATTATAATTGAAATGAAACTGTTCCATGAAAATGTGCATATAAAAATCATAACTGTCACACAAAACGGTAGAAATGGTAGGATAAATTGTAAGCTTACCCAAACTTGAAACTCACGCGCCGCCTATGAAGTCTTTGTAAAATAATTGCCTCCATGTTTCCATGGTCGGATTTTGCCTATAGGCCACTTTGAAGCAAGGTAAGACATGCCTCATAATATGAAATAAAACATTCAGGTTTCAAACAATTTAAGTATGTTTTCAAAATGCATACTGCCTCCAGCTCACATTGTAAAGTGTTGGGTGACGCTATGATAACCTGTTGCCTGCACTTGAATGGTGAATGGGAGGCGCACAATTACCAGTTGAGAACTAAAAATAGTAGCTCTTTTTAATTGTGCACCAAAACTGTTAACACGCAATTGCATTTAGAGCTATGAATGGGCTTATAAAAGCATGTTTTACTCCAGCAGTAACCAGCTGAGGAGCTGCAGAAGAAATCCCGCTCAAAATAGGCTCTATATGCTGTGCACTGATAGTTGTGTTGGATAAATAAGATGCATGATGACTAATGAAAATACACACAGGCCAATTTAAAATAAATCCATGCCTTGTGGCCGTTGTGCCCTTGGGCTGAATATAATAATTATAATTCCCTTCTCCCAGATGCCAATCTCCCTGCTCTGAAGAACCTCACTCGCATTGGCGCTCTCAAATATCTCAATTCTTATTAGCCAATGCCCATCACGTGATAGGATCCTTCTCACAGGCATCGCAGCTCCGAAGTAGGCTAGTGAAGACGGACACATCGGGGATGCAACGGCGCGCGTCCTTCTTATCGAATTCTGAGGGGCATATTGAAGATGTTAGAAGAACTGTCCACATTTACTTTTTGTCAGCCAACAAGATGAGTAACGAACAGCAAAAGCACTACCTATGTCAATCTACTATCCCCCATAGTACAAAAGTTGACCTATTCTATTGGTCAGCTTGTCGTTCTGTGCGAGAAATAAATATTCCAAACAGACTCTGGGACAGTTGTGGGATGATGGAGCCCAAATTAATACAACAACTGTACATTTAAAAAAAGTTTTCAAGCAATGAGGCTGATGCAACAGATCAGAATGTTTAGCTTAAAATGTTGATAAACTATTAGGCTATTTCTTCACATTATAAGCACAGCAATGCACACATGGCAGTAGGCTATAAGCCCAAATGTTCCAAAATGCAATTAGCGGGAAAACACTGTTCTGCAAAGTGCTCCGCAAATGCGAGCGGTTTCATATGACAGAGATGAGAATAGCCTTTAGAAATTTAGAAAGGCAAGATCTAAAGATGCAACAACTAGCATGGGTTGTTAATATGACTAGGATTGCGTCTTTGGCTGCTGGACAACGAAAGAAAGTTGAGAACATGAGATAAATACTGGTTTCAATGGCAAATAAGGAAGTGTATATAAAAGAATCCCCTTAACATTCCTATGGTTGGAACACAGTAAGACATGCCTCATAAAATTACAAAAAAACATCCAGGTTTTAAACAATTACGTTTATGGTTAAAGAGTTTGAAAATGTTGACTGCCTCTGCTCAGATTGTAAGGTGGGTGATGTTGCGGTGCGCAACAGGCACTGGCCTTTCTCTGCTATCTGAACCAACAGTGCCTTGAGTATGACAGAATCAAGCCTTTAGACGTTAATATTAATTATCTTACATTTTATTTGTCAAACATGAAGCTGGAGACTCTTATCTCCCTCACTAACTTTAAGCATCAGTTGTCAGAGCACCTTACCGATCACTGCACCTGTACACAGCCCATCTGAAATTAGCCCACCCAACTACCTCATCCCTATATTGTTATTTATTTTGCTCTTTTGCACCCCAGTATCTCTATTTGCACATAATCTCTTGCACATCTAGCATTCCAGTGTTAATACTAATTGTAATTATTTTGCACTATAGCCTATTTATTGCCTTACCTCCATAACTTGCTACATTTGCACACACTGTATATATATTTTCTGTTGTATTTTTGACTGTTTTTTTTACCCCATATGTAACTCTGTGTTGTTGTTTTTATCGCTTTGCTTTATCTTGGCCAGGTCGCAGTTGTAAATGAGAACTGAAATAAAATAAAAATATTTTTAAAAAAAATAAAACATGACTGGCTTTTAGCCTATATCTATGTAATTAAGTCTCATTGAAGTCTGGCTAAATTTTCTGGCGCCTCCCTCCTGTCAGCATCGATGTGGACATGAGACTGTAGCCAATATGCATAGGCTATATCACCTACACTTTGACATGTAGGCTAGTTATGTATATACATTTATGTACACTTATGTTTTTCTTAACAGAATAGCCAGTGTTTTTTTTGGGGTTTCATATCAATTTAATTGGCTATTTTGGTTAATGGCCTTGGTGCCCTACAGATGGCCTTGGTGCCCTGGCAGATTGGGCACCTCTTGGCCTTGCCCCAAATGGCCTTGCCCCTAAAATCACGACGTTCCGGGTCTGACCCGTTGTATATTGTGTGTGTGTGTATGTATGTATGTGTGTGTGTGTGTATGTATGTATGTATATATATATATGTATGTATGTGTGTATATATATATATATATATCTATATATATATATATATATATATATATATATCTATATCATATCTATATCTCTCTCTATATATATCTATATATCATACTGTGTCTGTATGTGTGTGTATATATATATATATATATATACACCCCACACACACACACCACACACACACCACACACACACACACACACAGTGAGGGGAAAAAAGTATTTGATCCCCTGCTGATTTTGTATGTTTGCCCACTGACAAAGAAATGATCAGTCTATAATTTTAATGGTAGGTTTATTTGAACAGTGAGAGACAGAATAACAACAAAAAAATCCAGAAAAGCGCATGTCAAAAATGTTATAAATTGATTTGCATTTTAATGAGGGAAATAAGTATTTGACCCCTCTGCAAAACATGACTTAGTACTTGGTGGCAAAACCCTTGTTGGCAATCACAGAGGTCAGACGTTTCTTGTAGTTGGCCACCAGGTTTGCACACATCTCAGGAGGGATTTTGTCCCACTCCTCGTTTGGCAACTCGAACCTTCAGCTCCCTCCACAGATTTTCTATGGGATTAAGGTCTGGAGACTGGCTAGGCCACTCCAGGACCTTAATGTGCTTCTTCTTGAGCCACTCTTTTGTTGCCTTGGCCGTGTGTTTTGGGTCATTGTCATGCTGGAATACCCATCCACGACCCATTTTCAATGCCCTGGCTGAGGGATGGAGGTTCTCACCCAAGATTTGACGGTACATGGCCCCGTCCATCGTCCCTTTGATGCGGTGAAGTTGTCCTGTCCCCTTAGCAGAAAAACACCCCCAAAGCATAATGTTTCCACCTCCATGTTTGACGGTGGGGATGGTGTTCTTGGGGTCATAGGCAGCATTCCTCCTCCTCCAAACACGGCGAGTTGAGTTGATGCCAAAGAGCTCGATTTTGGTCTCATCTGACCACAACACTTTCACCCAGTTCTACTCTGAATCATTCAGATGTTCATTGGCAAACTTCAGACAGGCCTGTACAGTGAGGAGAACAAGTATTTGATACACTGCCGATTTTGCAGGTTTTCCTACTTACAAAGCATGTAGAGGTCTGTAATTTGTATCATGGGTACACTTCAACTGTGAGAGACGGAATCTAAAACAAAAATCCAGAAAATCACATTGTATGATTTTTAAGTAATTAATTTGCATTTTATTGCATGACATAAGTATTTGATCAACTACCAACCAGTAAGAATTCCGGCTTTCACAGACCAGTTCGTTTTTCTTTAAGAAGCCCTCCTGTTCTCCACTCATTACCTGTATTAACTGCACCTGTTTGAACTCGTTACCTGTATAAAAGACACCTGTCCACACACTCAATCAAAACAGACTCCAACCTCTCCACAATGGCCAAGACCAGAGAGCTGTGTAAGGACATCAGGGATAAAATTGTAGACCTGCACAAGGCTGGGATGGGCTACAGGACAATAGGCAAGCAGCTTGGTAAGAAGGCAACAACTGTTGGCGCAATTATTAGAAAATGGAAGAAGTTCAAGATGACGGTCAATCACCCTCGGTCTGGGGCGCCATGCAAGATCTCACCTCGTGGGGCATCAATGATCATGAGGAAGGTGAGGGATCAGCCCAGAACTACACGGCAGGACCTGGTCAATGACCTGAAGAGAGCTGGGACCACAGTCTCAAAGAAAACCATTAGTAACACACTATGCCGTCATGGATTAAAATCCTGCAGCGCACGCAAGGTCCCCCTGCTCAAGCCAGCGCATGTCCAGGCCCGTCTGAAGTTTGCCAATGATCATCTGGATGATCGAGAGGAGGAATGGGAGAAGGTCATGTGGTCTGATGAGACAAAAATAGAGCTTTTTGGTCTAAACTCCACTCGCTGTGTTTGGAGGAAGAAGAAGGATGAGTACAACCCCAAGAACACCATCCCAACCGTGAAGCATGGAGGTGGAAACATCATTCTTTGGGGATGCTTTTCTGCAAAGGGGACAGGACGACTGCACCGTATTGAGGGGAGGATGGATGGGGCCATGTATCGCGAGATCTTGGCCAACAACCTCCTTCCCTCAGTAAGAGCATTGAAGATGGGTCGTGGCTGGGTCTTCCAGCAACGACCCGAAACACACAGCCAGGGCAACTAAGGAGTGGCTCCGTAAGAAGCATCTCAAGGTCCTGGAGTGGCCTAGCCAGTCTCCAGACCTGAACCCAATAGAAAATCTTTGGAGGGAGCTGAAAGTCTGTATTGCCCAGCGTCAGCCCCGAAACCTAAAGGATCTGGAGAAGGTCTGTATGGAGGAGTGGGCCAAAATCCCTGCTGCAGTGTGTGCAAACGTGGTCAAGACCTACAGGAAACATGATCTCTGTAATTGCAAACAAAGGTTTCTGTACCAAATATTAAGTTCTGCTTTTCTGATGTATCAAATACTTATGTCATGCAATAAAATGCAAATTAATTACTTAAAAATCATACAATGTGATTTTCTGGATTTTTTTTTTAGATTCCGTCTCACAGTTGAAGTGTACCTATGATAAAAATTACACACCTCTACATGCTTTGTAAGTAGGAAAACCTGCAAAATCAGCAGTGTATCAAATACTTGTTCTCCCCACTGTATATGTGCTTTCTTGAGCAGGGGGACCTTGCGGGCGCTGCAGGATTTCAGTCCTTCATGGCGTAGTGTGTTACCAATAGTTTTGTTGGTGACTATGGTCCCAGCTGCCTTGAGATCATTGACAAGATCCTCCCGTGTAGTTCTGGGCTGATTCCTCACCATTCTCATGATCATTGCAACTCCACGAGGTGAGATCTTGCATGGAGCCCCAGGCCGAGGGAGATTGACACTTATTTTGTGTTTCTTCCATTTGTGAATAATCGCACCAACTGTTGTCACCTTCTCACCAAGCTGCTTGGCGATGGTCTTGTAGCCCATTCCAGCCTTGTGTAGGTCTACAATCTTGTCCCTGACATCCTTGGAGAGCTCTTTGGTCTTGGCCATGGTGGAGAGTTTGGAATCTGATTGATTGATTGCTTCTGTGGACAGGTGTCTTTTATACAGGTAACAAACTGAGATTAGGAGTACTCCCTTTTAAGTGTGCTCCTAATCTCAGCTCGTTACCTGTATAAAAGACACCTGGGAGCCAGAAATCTTTCTGATTGAGAGGGTGTCAAATACTTATTTCCCTCATTAAAATGCAAATCAATTTATAACATTTTTGACATGCGTTTTTCTGGATTTTTTTGTTGTTATTCTGTCTCTCACTGTTCATATAAACCTACCATTAAAATTATAGACTGATCATTTCTTTGTCAGTGGGCAAACGTACAAAATCAGCAGGGGAGCAAATACTTTTTTCCCTCACTGTATGTGTGTGTGTGTGTGTGTGTGTGTGTGTATATATATATATATATACACACACACACACACACAGCTTGAATGCTGTTTCAGCCAATCAGCGTTCAGGACCCAAGCTACCCAGTTTATAATATAACATATAGAACATGTATACAGTGCATTCAGAAAGTATTCAGACCCTTTGACTTTTTCTTCATTTTGTTATGTTACAGCCTTCTAAAATGTTTTTCCCCCCATCAAACAAAGCAAAAACTGAAATGTCACATTTACATAAGTATTCAGACCCTTTGCTGTGAGACTCAATTGTATACATGTTCTAAAAACCTGTTTTCACTTTGTCATTATGGGGTATGGTGTGTAGATGATACATTTTTTATTTAATCCATTTTAGAATAAGGCTGTAATGTAACAAAATGTGGAAAAGGTCAAGGGGTCTGAATACTTTCCGAATGCACTGTACATACTTGACAAAACCAAAGGGTTGAGATATCAGGCGACAATAATCAGGCTGCTGATCCCCCCCCCCCCCCCCCCCCACCAGGTGACGCTGCTGAAATACGGCGTGCACGAGGCCATCTTCGCCATGCTGCCCTCGCTCATGAACAAGGACGGGCTGCTGGTGGCCAATGGGAAGGGCTTTGTAACCCGGGAGTTCCTGCGCAGCCTGCGGCGCCCCTTCAGCGAGATCATGGAGCCCAAGTTTGAGTTTGCGGTGAAGTTTAATGCTCTGGAGCTGGACGACAGTGACCTGGCCCTGTTCGTGGCCGCCATCATCCTCTGTGGAGGTATGTGCTGGTTCTATACTGGTACTACCGTGAGAACTCATTACTGTACTACCACAATACACTGGCACTGTCATAATAACCCTAACCCTTCTACTATCATTATAAGCCTAACTAAGGTAACTAAGACAAGCTGAAGTTAGTGCTAAAATACAAGTTTGTTTTCTACCAGTTGACATATACTTACCTCCCTCTCCCCACTCTTTTTCTCTCCCCTCCCCTCCTCTCCCCCCTCCTTTCCCTCTCTCTTCTCCTGTCAGACCGTCCAGGGCTGATAAACATCATGCAGGTGGAGGAGATTCAGGACAGCATCTTGCAGGCCCTGGACCAGCACCTGCTGGCCAACCACGCTGACTCAAAGTACCTTTTCCCCAAGCTGCTCAACAAGATGGCCGACCTGCGCCAGCTGGTCACTGAGAACGGCATGCTGGTCCAGAAGATCAAGAAGACAGAGTCAGAGACCTCGCTGCACCCGCTGCTGCAGGAGATCTACAAGGACATGTACTGACTGGACTGGTTGAGCTTCCTAGTACAGCTGCAGTGTTTACTCACTCCTGGTTCCTGGGACTGGGAGTCACAGGGAGTGCATGATTTTGTTCCAGCCCATCATTAACACACCCTATTCACCTCATCAGCCAATCAACCACCACCTTGATCAGTTGAATCAGGTGTTAGCGTTTATTCTGACGTCTCAATAAAATAATGATGAAAACGCTGGCTGGTGGGAGTTATAACAATGAATATGTAGTTGCACACTCTTGTTCAGATGCAGTTGATTGATTATAAATCACCATCGTTTGGGCAGCAAGCTGCCTTCATCAGGGTCTCTTGACTGTCTCTGTACTGGACAAATGACATGTACTGACCTGGAATGTATCAAGAGACTGATGGGAGACATACAGAGTAACATACACCCTACCACATATTAAACGTGTGTGATTGTTTGGGTGCCCGAAATAGAAGGTGATTTGAGTTGTTTCAAGTGGATGCTGTTGTATAGCAGGTCTTTAACTGTGGTTGGACAGGACTGATGCAGTTGAAGGGCTTGTAGTGTCCTGCTCTGAACGTGGTGAAGGTGCAGTGTCGAGGTATTCGTTTCCAGGAGAATAACAGACAGCTCATCAACCAATGCCACAACAAAACCAAGACTCCTCTTTTCCCTCTAAATTTTACAAGGATGATCAGCGTTGCTATTTTTATACAACAGATTTTTGTAGTCTCTCTCTCCCGATGGGCAGTGTTTTTTACAACGGTCAACCTATTCTTAACCCTGCGGTTCGGGGTCATTACCAGCCATTGTTGTTTGTGTTACAAACTTTCTGAGAGCTCGTGATGCTGATATTCAGAAAAAATGCTGGTTCTGCTTGCCTGTACAAATAAGAGGGTTGTCGGCAACCATAGGTGTCCCCTTTCCGTCCGTCCCTACCATCCCATCCTAAGGCCATAACACTGGGATAAGCTATTACCAAACCCCCCCTTAGCTCTCCTTTCCACATCTGTAAATCTTCAGTATAAATTCACACCCCTCAACCTCCCAATTATCTAATCATAGAACGGTTTTGATTTGATTGATAACTCACAGTCCCGGGTTCGAAGAACCTCCCTTCTATGCTAGTGAACAAAATCCATCGTCACACCCCCAGAGATTGTGTGAAAGTAGGAGCTGTGATTGTATATGCCTTTTATATATGAATCTCCTCCATGGAGGTCCACCCCCAACCCTTCTCCTCCTGTTAGACCAGGAAGCACACAGACAGTCCAGTCAGTCTCACTTTTCAATGGACACATACATTTATAGATTCTTACAACATCCTAACCTCAATACCTTTTATGTTTTCTTTTGTGTACAACTGTTGGGTCTAAAACCATGGGATGATGCTGTGTTGTCATACTGTGAAGGTTAACCTGATCACAGGGTCTGTATAAGATGTTTTGAATGCCTGATTTTACTTATGTTTACTTAATTATGTATAATTGAAGTATGATTTGTATATATTTTTTCAGCCAGGTGGTGTTCGTTAACTGCGCGCAGTCGATAAGCAAAACTCTAACAAATGTTCTCATATTATGAGCTTCCCGCTTTCTTTCTTTTTTTCTCTTCTTATTCTTCCGCCAAGTATGGTGCTATGGATTTGGCCAACTATCGCTCCCTCGAGCAGTCTAACTCCAGACAGGGAATGACTGGTTCATAATACTTAGAGAGAAAAGGATCCTACTCCCTTGGTTCCTTCCTATCTCTTTCACTTCTTCACTGATCTAAAAGGCCTGGTCAAATGAAAGCAATACAGCAAAGGCTTCTGTTGCGCGTCCACCATATAGATTGTACCCATCTAGATCAGTGCTCAATTGAAGGGAGTGATTGAGCATTTTAAGAGTTGAAATACAGGGCAACGGTCAAGAAATTACTTATAGAAATATATTGACTTGATCTATGGCTCTGGACACGCCATCAGAATTCTGATGCTGTTGGAATTCAGAGATGCATGGCAGCAGGGGGACCAATCTAAATTGCCATGAGAGGAAATAGGTTTATCCCCATTCTTTTAGGTCAGCCAATTATGGTAACTGATGAAATACTGCACTTCCTACTGTACATAGCAATTATGTAAATTATATGCAAAACAATGTATGTTTCTGTTTTTATTATTTTCTATGTTGTGACATTAAAATGGCTAAATAAGTTTGTATTCTAGCACAAGAGTAGGGGGAGGACATTATATATGTGACTCCTTGCCTATACAGTAGAGAGGTTGCCAAATTGTTACAGATATCTCTTGAATAAGCGCTTTATTTCCGCTCACAGGGAGTTGACAAAGCACAACTGACTGATCTGATGCTCACCTAACAGCAGAAACAGTTGAGACAATAATAATAAAGTGACAGTGTTGAACCACCTGTTCTGGTTACTGTGTTCTGTATCCACTTAGTCAGTGTACCCTGGGGGGGAGGAGGTCATTTCTCCTCCTGTAATCATCTTTTATTTTCTTCTGTTACCTTCTTCCTTTCTCTCAGTATGAATAAAAGCGTCTGCTAAATGGCATATTATATTATTATTATATTATAATAATTTTATTTTTCTGCTTTTTTTCTGGTGCCCCTAGGTATGTCATTGTCACGGACCACCTGTGGTTAGTTATAACTACACATTTATTGACACATTGTGTTAATAAACTTCTAGGGAAAAAACATGTTACTTTCCAGTTACTGAATAGAAAAAACATGTTACTTTCCAGTTACTGAATAGAAAAAACATGTTACTTTCCAGTTACTGAATATAACAATTTACAATGAAATGTAAATTACTAAATTAGTACTGCTGCACAATCAAAAAGCTACATTGTGTTCATTTTTCTTCAATGGTTGTCTAATGATTTTATTTCTGCATACAATGTATGAGCACAACAGCACAGGTCTGAAATATTCTACAGTCTACCACAGCAATACTGTGCTTTCCCCCCCATTTAACATCTGTATAAACACCTGGTATTAACCATCTGAGGGAAAGTATAGGATTTCTACCTTTGGTATAGCGCTTCCAATAAATGGTTGATTAAAAACATTGGTTAATACTTTTGATGTCTTCTGCTGGCCTCTTACTTGCTCGACTACATGTGATGTTCTCATTTTCAATTATTGGATAAAATCTCATATGTTAAATGTTTGACAATGTTTACATCATAACGTCAAGGAACATCTGAACAAACAATTGGCTCTGGTCAAAAGTAGTGCACTTTATAAGTGCTAGTGTGTGTGTGAGAGCGAGATAAATAAAATCAATTTTCTACAACGGGATGGGTCAGGTCTGTGTGTATCGACTGTCAGGTGTTGGACAGCCTGGCGGGCCCCTGGCTTCTTTCCTGAGACAGCGTTTCCTTTGAGGTGTGTGTGTGAGCCCCGTGAGCGAGGCCATGCATCTGAACAATCACACCCCAGAGACCTCACTGACCCTCCAGCCATTGTTTTTCACAGACAGGCTGGGCTCAGTCCGCGGTATCAAGCCTACATATAGATCAGTTTGATCAAACTTGAACTTGAATGGAGCCCACCGAGGGGGCTCTGGGTGGACCACTACATCCAGCTTCCCTCTCCCTGGGAACCCTAACCTGACATTTGTTTGGAACTCGGACTGTTATAGCCCCCCACTGCATTTGAATGGGAATAGGAATGTGAGACTGTAATAGTTAGTGGATAAGCACTTAGTTTACAGGCATTGTGACAATTATGTTGTGTTCTCATTGATGATAGACATGGCTTATGTGTTAACACAAGTCTCTCATCAATCCACTTGTCGCTGTAGCCTAAGGGCATCCGTCTTACCAGTGTAGCATCCCCTGATCTCTACTTTGTCTTATAAAATCTGTCAAAGTCGCGTCAATTCAAATCTGGTATTAGGAACAAAAGAGGTCAACACGACTTCTAAGATATACTAGTTATTTTAATTAATGCAAAAACCTTCAATGGTAAATATGATGTTTCGTATATACGGGCTCTCTGAGATGCCTCGCAGGACACCCCAGAGAACTAAAAACATTGTTTCAGATGCAATACTCAAATACTCTGACAGAGGGAATTTCCCACTTCTCTGCTGGCCAATTAGAGTAGAGACTTGTGCGTGGTTTAAACTTACTCAGCCAATCCGTTGGTTCAGGGGTTGGTCTCATCTCCTCGGCGCCATTTGTTGCACACTTCAGCCAGGCACAAGTTTATCATAACAACCTATCATAGTGAGAAGAGCCAGCTCCCTTAGACATCATTCCTACGTCCAAGGAAGGCTCACAGATCACAAAGAACCAGTATAGTCTAGCATTTGGAGGCAAATCCTTATCTCCCTTTACCCCCTAAAACAGCTCTTCACATCAATCACAGCCTGCCAGGTGTCACAGCCTACATTAGCCCAGTCAAGAATGCATTCTTTCTAAGTTAGTCATCCCATCAATTTAGGAGAATAATAAATCCCCAATAAATCCAAGGTCCATTTATAAAAGATCACATGGGCAAGGCAGGTCACAGTTCAGCAATAAATATCTCACTGTGCCTCCAATGCCACATCATTCCTAAATCGTTTATTTGTTCTTTTAGGTCTTTGAAAGTCTAAAATACTGCACGGACAAAGACTATGTATATGGCTTATGAATGTTGTTTTCACTTGCTTTAGCAAGCATATTGTTATTCCAAGTGATATACATGTCTAAATCCACATATTCATTTCAGAAAATAGGCTAGACGGCAAAAACTACAAATATGGCCGGACCGGGAATACGTCTATAAACTGCGACGAACCGCCCCTTCTTCCTTCTTTTCAGTGCTCTGTCGCGTTTGAGCAGGACCTTCAATATGAGGTGAGAGAAAATTACATCAAATAAAGTCTAACAAGAAGTGAGAAATGTTATATTGTCGTCAGTGATCCGTTTAAGACTTACTCAAACTCAGCAGTATAACCGTGTTCACTTTGAACCTCATGAGCAATTTGTGGAGTCTAGCTACAGAAGCTAACTACTTCTGCCATAGTGCAACTAGCTTGAATGCTAACACTACGGACAAATCCACATCCATCTAACATGAAATCATAATCCTTTATGTTCCGAACTGAATTAAATAGTGCCGTACATAACTGGAAATGGTTCATGTTGTAATAGTTGTGATTTGTACATTTAACTGGCTTTTATAAGTCTACTCGATAGGCTACCGGTTTTGTCGACTACTGGATAGAACTTGCTATGGCGTCAAGTTAGTAAAGCTGAATGTGGGATGTGGGGACGCTAATATTAATTCATCACATGGCAAAAAAATAGTATGTATAATTCTGTACGCTGACTTTGGCATTCTGACTCAATGACATGTGTTTAATTACAGCAAGGTATCCAGGGATATGCTTTATGAGGTGGTCAAGGAGGTCCAGGCGGGATCTCTGGCCAAGCCACGCAAGTAAGACCCTTTCCCTTCTCTAGTGTTCTCTTAGCAAAGTTTGCACATTGGTTTGTCCAATTTGATAAAATACTGAATGTTATTTGTCACAACCCCTAATTTAGTTAAATCTCACATTGATGGTCTTGATTTGTTTGCTTTGTTGTCCTAAAGGTTCACAGAGTCCGTAGAGCTCCAGATCAGCTTGAAGAACTACGATCCCCAGAAGGACAAGCGTTTCTCTGGCACAGTCAGGTTTGGCCCCTTTCCCATATCACCCATCCTTCTGCCTGTCTGCCCCGTCTAGTCCTGAATGTGAACGGGCATGGTTCGGCCCCTTGATCTGGACATTCTAAACTCACTGACTCAAACCCAGTATATTTTATGCACACTCAAGATCCACACTTATCTAGTAATGTACAATCTCTCAAACCACACTCTTGCAGCATATCTCATACACATTCACTAACTCATACAGAAACTCCATTCCAATAGCAGGGCTGTTGTGGGGTGTTCTGGGTAGTCTGACTGAGCCTCGCCCTGGGGGAGGGATCCAGCGGACGGACCCCTACCCTGGGTCTTAAAACATGAGGGGAGGCAGACAGTGGGGTCTTCGTGCCCCCCTCGAGCCGACCATTTTAGGTAATGGTGTTGCTGGTGGAGTCCAGAAGAGAAGCCAGTCTGTGTGGTTCTGGGAAGACTCCAGAGTACTCTTCTCTGGTATGAGTCGTCCATCTGGGTTTGGAACTTGTCCGTTTTGGGGAGTCACTGGATGGCCATGTTGGGAAGGGCGGAAGTGACTATTGTCTAGTCAGGAAGGACATAAGCTAGTGGTGTAACATTGACATTTTAGTCATTTAGCAGATGCTCTTATCCAGAGCGACTTACAATTAGTGAGTGCATACATTTTTCATACTGGATGTTAAGGATTCAGGTTTGGGAAAGGATGGGGTAAAGTTAGGTTTAGCCTTTTACTGCAGTCAGCTAAATCAGGGTCACACAGTGATTCTTGGTAGTCTTAAACAAATCTACTTTGAAACAAAAGTATACACCTCACGTACATATTTGTGGGCATAAAAAGACCTGTACCATGTCCGATATAGTTGAAATGTATTAAATTCCCAACATTACACTTTATATACATCACAGAAGACTGAAATATATTAGCTGTTTGATGTAGAAGAAAATCTTTATTAATGATGAAATTATGAAAAATATTTACATTCCAGCCATGAGGCCAAAGGGCAGTTTTGGTCATTGACTGCAGGAAAGGGCTACGGGTTAGAATGTCTTTAGTTGCGTGTCCATTCTAGCATGGCCATATGGTGAGGCCCCTCCATTATGTGGTTTGAACATTACTGGGGTGACATGGTTGTCAACTGTTCTGAATTGCCCCTGTAGACTGAAGACCACCCCCAGGCCCAAGTTCTCTGTGTGCATCCTGGGAGACCAGCAGCATTGTGACGAGGCCAAGGCTGCAGAGCTGCCACACATGGACATTGAGGCCCTCAAGAAACTCAACAAGAACAAGAAAATGGTCAAGAAACTGGGTGAGTGGCGCTTCAAGTCACTTCCAGATAGTCTCCGTCTTATGATCTGTCTTGCTATTGTTTTTCCGCATTTAAATGAGTCTTAGATGGATCTTGATCGTTCTCTTCTTGGCCCCAACAGCTAAGAAGTACGACGCCTTCCTGGCCTCTGAGTCTCTGATCAAGCAGATCCCTCGTATCCTGGGGCCTGGGCTCAACAAGGCTGGCAAGTTCCCCTCCCTGCTCACCCACAACGAGAACCTCAATGTCAAGGTTGATGAGGTCAAATCCACCATCAAGTTCCAGATGAAGAAGGTGTGTAGTTTTATTCCAGATGTTACATGATTGATGCATGCAGTCTGTAGGATCAATGCGTTTTTTATGTAGGCCACCTGTTAATTTACATTTTAGTCATTTAGCAGACACTCTTATCCAGAGTGACTTACAGAAGCAATTAGGGTTAAGTGCCTTGCTGAAGGGCACATCGACAGATCTTTCACCTAGTCGGCTCGGTGATTCGAACCAGTGACCTTTCGGTTACTGGCCCAATGCTCTTAACCGCTAGGCTACCTGCCTTTGTAACATGACCCAATCTCCTCGCCGCTCTATTCCAGGTGCTGTGTCTGGCGGTGGCTGTGGGTCACGTGAAGATGTCAGAGGAGGAGCTGGTCTACAACATCCACTTGGCAGTTAACTTCTTGGTGTCTCTGCTGAAGAAGAACTGGCAGAACGTCCGTGCCCTCTACGTCAAGAGCACCATGGGAAAGCCCCAGCGCCTCTACTAGAGGACCAAACCGCTTTTACTACCAATAAAAGGACACAGGAAAAAAAACCATCTCATCGCTTTGTGGTTATTCTTGTTGTCCCAGACTACGGTACTTTGTGTACTGCTGGTTATCCTCTCTGCAAGGGATCCAGAGAAATTATTTGATCGTAAAAACTAAATATTTACCAGCCTTTTTTTGGAAGTAGCACAATGTCTAAAGATTGCATCCATTTATAATTAAATGTGATTAAGTTTCTAAATGGGACAAATTAGCTAAATCAAGACAAAGTACAGATTTAGTGTTTACACATACAACAGTCTGTCTGCCCCAGTTTCTACTGAAGCTCATTACTTTAAATGATTGGAGTGGCCATCATGACAAGCTGATGACTGGTTTTAGTTGGAGGGGGATGGCAGTGGCGTACATGCCAATTTATTGGTGACATGGTCAAATCTAATGCAGGCTGGTATTCGTTCTCCCTAAAAGTGGTATTTGGTTTGAAGTCTGCATGGCTGACAATTTCAACTTGTCTGTTCTTGGTAGCCATTCTGCTTCAGATGGGTTTAGTGGGCGCTCAAAACTAACGTTTAGGCTGAGCTGGGGAATGGTCATGTAGAAATGGCCGTTACTACAGAGTCCATGTAGTCAGAATAAAAATGTGTACAACTATTATAATGCATGCACATTCACTTGTATAATGTAAGCATACAGTCCCCTGATGATCCTGCCTGTTGCGTGCCCTGGGTGTCACCTCTCAATAGCAGAGCACAGGAGGCTGCCGTGACGATCCGATTATCTCGTCTTTTCACTACAGCAGGAGACTGGCGAGCATAGAGCTGAGTCACAGGGTAAGAGCTGTCCTATAGAGCTGAGTCACAGGGTAAGAGCTGTCCTATAGAGCTGAGTCACAGGGTAAGAGCTGTCCTATAGAGCTGAGTCACAGGGTAAGAGCTGTCCTATAGAGCTGAGTCACAGGGTAAGAGCTGTCCTATAGAGCTCAGTCACAGGGTAAGAGCTGTCCTATAGAGCTGAGTCACAGGGTAAGAGCTGTCCTATAGAGCTGAGTCACAGGGTAAGAGCTGTCCTATAGAGCTGAGTCACAGGGTAAGAGCTGTCCTATAGAGCTGAGTCACAGGGTAAGAGCTGTCCTATAGAGCTGAGTCACAGGGTAAGAGCTGTCCTTCAATGCTTATATTACCATCCTCCTGCCTCTGACTGCTGTCCAATAGCACACACCACCCTAGGCACTTCACTGAGCTCTAAAAGGATGTATTAGCTATCTATGGTTAAAGCCCCACCAGTCCCTCTGAATGGCTTGGTGGAATTTGCCATAATGTTTATACCTATCCAATCCTTTCAACTCTACTCAAGTAGCTATAGGCATTCAAGTTGATTTGGAGTTGGACGTGTGTAGGGGAGAATGAGTGGGCTTTGACATCACAACCATGAGCGTATTCATTTAAACTGATTCTGTTCAATTGAAGCAAACGGAACAAAATGGAGAGGCACCTACCTGAATTTGTCCAATAAAAACTCTTGTTTTAACTGATTGGACGAATGATTACACGCCTGGGGTAAGCAAAGGAGGACTGTTTGGAAGTTTGTTTCGTCTTTAGCGTTCTAGCTTCAGGTGAAGTTTACTTGTACGAGTGAACAAGAGTTCACTCAAACAAGTGTGAATGTGTGTTTTGGGGTTGTGGGTGGTCCCTAATCTGTCTTTATCACCAGCTCTTGGATGCATTCCCTCTAGAAAAACATGACTCCCCCGTCGGTGTGAAGGAACACAGCTGGTGGGATTTCAAACAGCTGACAGGGGACCTTTAAAATGCCATTATAGGGAAAAGTGAACAAGGAGGAGGGACAGAAGGAGAACAGGGAAGAAGAGAGAGGAAGGAGTGTGTGCAGCATCACTAGACCTGAATGTTACTGTGCTCAGTAGCTCCTGAAAAACAAAACATCCTTGGACACCACGGGCCTCACTACATCGGTAAGAGAATAATGAAGGTGTCCCATCATATTCCAAATGGCTGTGCAACTGTTTTTGGCAGTTTAGTAGATTGCATTGAGATATCTAACACTGTTTCAAAATTAACTTGAGTCCAAGTTTTTAGTTCTCTGTTGGATTATTTTCTGGCCACTTGGGTCTGTGTCTTCTGTGTCTAAGTAACGGAATGTCTATAGGCCTAAATAATGGATGTTTCCCTTCTTTTGTTTAGACTACAAAATGTAGCTCCAAAGTAAATAGAGGGAGAATAAAAGTTGACTTCAGTGTGTAACTATGCTGCTTTCTGGAACTGTTGTAAACTTAGAAGAGAACAGTTAAAGAAGAGCATCAGCTTTTTAGTGAAACTGACTGGTCTATTGTATGAATGCTTTAAAAGGATAAACAAGATTATGCAGGAAGAAGTATATGTCAGAGACATCTTAAGACAGTGTAATAACCTCAGGTCTTACAGTATGTAACTGCTGTACTTTCATGTTATGACGTGAATGTTGTGACTGTCCACTGTTAAAAGTATGGACTACTAACACTACTTTAGAATCATAGAAAATAAGTGTCTCTCTGGAGTTTTTTGGTGATATTGTTAGTTTTAGATGTGTGGGTGTTTCTTAAAGCAAGCCAGCTGTTTATCCTCAGGTTAAACTCATGTAGTTAATGATTGTCCTTTTCCTCTCTTCTGTGTTCAGATACTCCCTACCCCCACTTCTATTTGTTTATAGCTACTGTATCTCTCTCTCTCTGTTCTCCTCCATCATGCTCCTCTGTGTCCCTGTTTCACCCCTGGTACTGTGCTCGGCCACAGCCTCTAGTGAGACTGAGAGCTGCGTATTAGCTTTCTCTACTCACTCTCATTAAGAATTCAGCGTTAAACTTGTGACCTGGGGCAGGGTCAGTGTCAGTATCCCTGTGGACGTGGTGAGAATAGAATTGTGGGCAATCGTTCTCTGTTTTCCCTTCCTTTAACAGGGTGTGTGTGTGCCATCTTTCAATATACTTGTAGAATGTAAGTGTGAATCTTATTTGTGTGTTCTTTCTCTCTCTCTCTCTCTCTCTCTCTCTCTCTCTCTCTCTCTCTCTCTCTCTCTCTCTCTCTCTCTCTCTCAGCAGTGAGGTCTTCTTTTCTGTAGGGTTGGTAAAAAGTATGAGGGGTGTGGAGAAAGGTAATGGATATAAACAACACTGTACTCACCCTCTGTACCACTCTGCCTAACACTGGGACCATGAATGCACAGGTAAGCAGGAGCATTTCTATCTTAATGAAAACATTCTTAAACCAGGCAAGTCTATTAAGGACTTGTCCTCATCTACAATAACAGCCTGGCCAAGAGGTTGCTAACTGATTTGTGTGTCATCCCTGTTCTTGTTGACTGGTTTGTGTGTCGTCCCTCTCCCAACGCCCTGGTAAGGAGGCCACTCCCTGTGAGTATGCTGGCATACTGGGGGATAGCTCTGACTCTGACGAAGGTAAGGAATCCGTTTGGCTGCATCGTTGCCAGCAACAGGACGTGGCTGTACTTCCATTTCCTGTCCTCTCTCTGTTGTTGTATGCTAGCAAAGCTATGAACACTCTGTCCTCTCTTCTCCTCTCCTCAGAGACCAGTCCAGAGGATCAGCTGGCTTTCTCCTGGAAGAACCTTCCTATACTGGAGAGATTGGGCCTCAGCAGGTCAGTTTATACTGGAGAGATTGGGCCTCAGCAGGTTAGTTTATACTGGAGAGATTGGGCCTCAGCAGATCAGTTTATACTGGAGAGATTGGGCCTCAGCAGATCAGTTTATACTGGAGAGATTGGGCCTCAGCAGGTCAGTTTATACTGGAGAGATTGGGCCTCAGCAGGTCAGTTTATACTGGAGAGATTGGGCCTCAGCAGATCAGTTTATACTGGAGAGATTGGGCCTCAGCAGATCAGTTTATACTGAAGAGATTGGTCCTCAGCAGGTCAGTTTATACTTTAACACTTGAACTTTTTTGATAGTCACAACCTCACCCTTCTCTTACCTCTCCCTCCCCTTTCTTTCCTGTCTCTCTACCTCACCCTTCTCTTTCCTGTCTCTCTACCTCACCCTTCCCTTTCCTGTCTCTCTACCTCACCCTTCTCTTTCCTGTCTCTCTACCTCACCCTTCTCTTTCCTGCCCTCAGTGGTACAGAGATGACTGAAGAGGAAGTTGAGGTGAGAATTCTTTGTGATTTGTACACTTGGACAAAGAGACTAGAGACTACACGCACCCACATGCAGACAAACACCCACACACGCACACCATGCACACCATGCACCCACTGTTCTGTCCCCTATAGAGTGAGTTTACCCAGTTTGCGCTGGCGTTCCGTTGTGACCAGTACACCCTGACCCAGAGACTGCAGGCTGAGGAACACGACAGAACCGTGGCCCAGGAGAACCTCAACCTAGAACTGGAGCGTACCAGAAACACACTGCAGGTGGGGGTGTGTACACATGTGTTTGACCTGGCTGCTTCACTCTTGTACAACAGTTGATGGTCTGATAAATGTATGTTTAAAGTTTAAACCATACCTCTCTCGTCCTCCACACTTCCTTTCTCTTTCTACTTTTCCTCTCCTCCAATCCTCTATTCCCCTCCTCTCTCCTCTCTCTCTCTCTCCTCTCCTCCCCCTCTCCCCCCTCTTCTCACCCAGTATCTGAAAGGTAGGTGTGTAGACGCTGAGCTTTCAGAGATGCTGAGTCGTATCGAGGCCAGTCTGGACACAGTGCTGGACGGCGTGAGTGACATCATCACTGCTGCTGAGATGCTGGGGACCGTGCACCAGGTGAGACTGACGTCATCACGACAGCCACACTGTCTGTCATGTAATCCTAGGCTTGCTCTTTTGGGGTATAAGTCAAGGTTTTGCTTAGTGCTCTGTGAAAAATATATTTGTATAAAAGTGTTATACATGTAATTTGATTGAATGATTGATTGATTAATATCTCTGCTGGGTCAGGAGGCACGCGTGTGTCGTTCTGTGGAGATGATGGGTGTCCACGTGGAGCATCTGAAGCGTCGTCACGCTGTGGAGAGAGCCGAGCTGCTGGAGACCAGAAAGTATTTTCACCGCAGCCGGGGCAGGAGACACAGCGACTCAGGTCTGAGTACTGCCCCTCAATGGATTTTTTGTGGACAAGTGAAAGTAAAATGTTGTTGTTCTTATAGTCAATTTATTCTTAAAAGAACAATACATTGTAAGTAGGCCTATAAGACTGTGTCTGATCCACTATAAGTGACTGATTTTCACAATAGGAGAACAGTATAATCTAACTGTACAGTGTAAAAAAATTGTCCACATATGGAAAAGTTCTGACTGTTGGTTTTTTCTCATTACAGAGGATGGAGAAGTCAGGCACCTGTTTGTCAGGCGAGACTCCCAACAGGTAGCAGACAGTTCACGTCACTGTGCTTTTCATATCCTTCCTTTAAATTTCAAATATCTCAGTTAAATGAATAGAAAATATCAGTGAGGGCAGGCCAGTGGCTTGATATTATTAAAACGTTTTATGTTTCACTTCTCTTATAAAAAAATATTTTATTGTTCTTCTTTCCCCGACTTTCTCAGACCCTCCTTCGGCGAAGAGTCAGCGTCACACTAATCCCAACGGGATCCCAGGTTAGAAACAATAACACTAAGACTTACTCCCATTGTGGTCCTATGACCATAATATGCATAACTCTAATTCTGTGCTGACCTCTCTTTTCTCCCCGCTCTTCAATCTCTTCTTTTCCTCCTCTTTCCCCCCTCTCATTTTCCCTCTCAGCTCAGCGACCTGGAGACCAAGTTCCAAGAGGGTTGCATGGCCAGTGCTGACACTGACAGCCAGGGGCCAGAATGGGGCAGTGTGAACCAAGCCAGCAGGTACAGGAAATGTGCTCTGTCATTAGTGCAGTTAGTGCACTGAGAGTCATCTGCATGGTCAGTTGTCACTAGTTGCTAGATGGCCATGCTAGTCACTAGTCAAAGAGGAAGCGTGCATTGGTTTTCATACGCACATGCACCACAGGCTTAGACGCAAGTGCACGGACTACAGTATAAACCTATGATGGACTTAACTGCTGTAGAGAACATATTGTGTGTGAATAGTGTCTGCTGATCTTGTGGATTATCAATGTGCTATGCCTTCCCCTTGTGTTCATACCATCAGAACTATATTGACCTCTGTAACAGCAGCATTATTTGTTATAGTATTACCTTGTTTAGTTGGAAGTGTAAACATAACTGTTTCCTTCTTTTTAAAGGCCCTCTGAGATGTCCCCCCTGGCCAGCCCGTCCCCCCACCACGCCCCCCTCCTGCTCAGACAGAGCTCCACACAGAGCTCCCAGAGCCTGGAGGAAGAGAGTGAGGTAGCCCCTCACACCAGGTAGGTAGCCCCTCACACCAGGTAGGTAGCCCCTCACACCAGGTAGGTAGCCCCTCACACCAGGTAGGTAGCCCCTCACACCAGGTAGGTAGCCCCTCACACCAGGTAGGTAGCCCCTCACACCAGGTAGGTAGCCCCTAACTCATCCACAGGTTCCCCATTATGACTCATTGACATCTAAACAATGACCCAAGGGTCAGATGTGACTGATGCAGGGCTTCCCTTCCTCTAATACTGTGTGGTTGTGTGTGTGCCCGTGACTGTGTGAATCAGTTCCCTGCAGATGACACGACGTCACAGGCGGGGGTCTGCGATCGTGGCGCGTGAGGCTAGTTCAGAGGAGGCCGAAGCCAAGGGGTCAAGAGCGGGGTCTGGACGCTGGGCGGGGTCATTAGCAGGCACATCCGAGCCCAGTGAGCTCAGTAGCTGTATGGCTGAATCAGTCTGCACCACAGAACCGTGAGTATTAAGATGACTTAACATTATTAAGATGTTATTAAGCTGCTATTAAGTCATTTTAAAATATATTAAGATAACACCATATTATTCATCTGATATAGCAGACAGTTGTCATTATCTGGCCATGCTAGAAAGTATGTACATTGAAGGCAATAGTGACACAGCCAGGGATGCCCTGTAAACAAACATGCAACTGTTGGATAATGATGATGTTGTAGGCCTCTGTTTCCCTCCAGGCCAGTGGTGCTGTCAGTGCAGCGCCCCCTAGCTACCTGGCTGTCTTACTGGACGTGGATGGTGCTGCTCCTCCTGGCTCTCTACTTCGTCCTGCTGCTGGGGTTCCTACTCTGGGGTCTGAAGGTTCCACACCACAGCTCTAGCTTCTGACATCTCACTTCTGCTGCACTGCATCTCAGCTCTACACCACAGAGTTCTGGGATCCACATTCTGTGTTCTGACATATGACTTAATAATATACACTGCTCAAAAAAATAAAGGGAACACTAAAATAACACATCCTAGATCTGAATGAATGAAATAATCTTATTAAATACTTTTTTCTTTACATAGTTGAATGTGCTGACAACAAAATCACACAAAAATGATCAATGGAAAGCAAATGTATCAACCCATGGAGGTCTGGATTTGGAGTCACACTCAAAATTAAAGTGGAAAACCACACTACAGGCTGATCCAACTTTGATGTAATGTCCTTAAAACAAGTCAAAATGAGGCTCAGTAGTGTGTGTGGCCTCCACGTGCCTGTATGACCTCCCTACAACGCCTGGGCATGCTCCTGATGAGGTGGCGGATGGTCTCCTGAGGGTTCTCCTCCCAGACCTGGACTAAAGCATCCGCCAACTCCTGGACAGTCTGTGGTGCAACGTGGCATTGGTGGATGGAGCGAGACATGATGTCCCAGATGTGCTCAATTGGATTCAGGTCTGGGGAACGGGCGGGCCAGTCCATAGCATCAATGCCTTCCTCTTGCAGGAACTGCTGACACACTCCAGCCACATGAGGTCTAGCATTGTCTTGCATTAGGAGGAACCCAGGGCCAACCGCACCAGCATATGGTCTCACAAGGGGTCTGAGGATCTCATCTCGGTACCTAATGGCAGTCAGGCTACCTCTGGCGAGCACATGGAGGGCTGTGCGGCCCCCCAAAGAAATGCCACCCCACACCATGACTGACCCACCGTCAAACCGGTCATGCTGGAGGATGTTGCAGGCAGCAGAACGTTCTCCACGGCGTCTCCAGACTCTGTCACATCTGTCACATGTGCTCAGTGTGAACCTGCTTTCATCTGTGAAGAGCACAGGGCGCCAGTGGCGAATTTGCCAATCTTGGTGTTCTCTGGCAAATGCCAAACGTCCTGCACGGTGTTGGGCTGTAAGCACAACCCCCACCTGTGGACGTCGGGCCCTCATACCACCCTCATGGAGTCTGTTTCTGACCGTTTGAGCAGACACATGCACATTTGTGGCCTGCTGGAAGTCATTTTGCAGGGCTCTGGCAGTGCTCCTCCTGCTCCTCCTTGCACAAAGGCGGAGGTAGCGGTCCTGCTGCTGGGTTGTTGCCCTCCTACGGCCTCCTCCACGTCTCCTGATGTACTGGCCTGTCTCCTGGTAGCGCCTCCATGCTCTGGACACTACGCTGACAGACACAGCAAACCTTCTTGCCACAGCTCGCATTGATGTGCCATCCTGGATGAGCTGCACTACCTGAGCCACTTGTGTGGGTTGTACACTCTGTCTCATGCTACCACTAGGGTGAAAGCACCGCCAGCATTCAAAAGTGACCAAAACATCAGCCAGGAAGCATAGGAACTGAGAAGTGGTCTGTGGTCACCACCTGCAGAACCACTTCTTTATTGGGGGTGTCTTGCTAATTGCCTATAATTTCCACCTGTTGTCTATTCCATTTGCACAACAGCATGTGAAATGTATTGTCAATCAGTGTTCCTTCGTAAGTGGACAGTTTGATTTCACAGAAGTGTGATTGACTTGGAGTTACATTGTGTTGTTTAAGTGTTCCCTTTATTTTTTTGAGCAGTGTATTTGCCATTTAGCAGACGCTTTTATCCAAAGCGACTTACAGTCATGCCTGCCATGCATATTTAATTTAATTTTTACTTCTGTACCACTGACTGCTGAGGTCTAAGTACTGAATTCGGAGCTATGCACCACCACCACAGACCGTCTGCAGAATGTCCAACTGAGATAAACTGGGCCTGTTTCTGTGAATGCAGGAGTTCCCACAGTGTGGTCCGGGCTGTGAGGAACAGGAACCCAAGCTGCCTCCTCAATCAACCTCATGAAGAGAAGTTGGGAAGAACTCCTGAGAGAGACAGTGGTGGAAGGCAGTGTGGTCTCATACTACCTGCTATGAATATTTGGAACAAATTGCTTGCACTGTACCTGTAATATGATGGATACAAATTGAATGAAATCTGTGTGTCACGGTTTCGGCCGAGGCTGCTCCTCCTCCTTGTTCGGGCAGGCTTCGGCGGTCGTCGTCTCCGGAGTACTAGCTGCCACCGTTCTATGTTTCATGTTCGTTTGGTTTTGTCTGTTTGTAACACCTGTCCCTTGTTTGTGTTGGATTGTGTTCCCTATTTAGTTTCGTTTATTCGGGTCAGGTGTTATGTGTGATTGTTATTGTCAGCTTGCCTCCGAGGAGTTTTCTCTCTCGTTTGTTGTTATTTCGAGAGTTCGCACTGCGTGCGCTTTTTCTTGTTTTCCGCACTGTGTGTTGTGCGTAATTGTTCGTGCCGCCCGGTTGGGTTGGCAACTCATTCCTGTTTTGGAAAGTACTAAAAGTCTGTTGAAGAACATCCTTGTCCCTGCGCTTGATTCCCTTCACTACATCCACACGCAACACTCTGACAGAATCACACATCCCTGGGTCCCAGAACGGGAAGGCAGATGCTCTGTCTCGGCGGTATGACGCGGAGGAGAGGTCCGTTGAGCCCACGCCCATACTACCAGAGTCTTGTCTGGTTGCACCGGTGGTGTGGGAGGTTGATGCCGAGATCGAGCGGGCGTTACGCACCGACCCAAGTCCTCCACAGTGTCCAGTGGGTCGGACGTACGTTCCGCTCGAGGTACGCGATCACCTCATTTGTTGGGCTCATACGTCCCCCTCCTCTGGCCATCCGGGTATCGGCCGGACAGTGCACTGCCTTAGCACGAAGTACTGGTGGCCAACGTTAGCTAGGGATGTGAGGATTTATGTCTCCTCCTGTTCGGTGTGTGCCCAGTGTAAGGCGCCCAGACATTTGCCCAGGGGTAAGCTACAACCCCTGCCTATTCCACAACGACCCTGGTCCCACCTCTCGGTGGATTTTGTTACCGACCTTCCCCCCTCACAGGGGAATACTACCATCCTGGTCGTTGTGGATCGGTTCTCGAAGGCCTGTCGTCTCCTTCCCATGCCGGGTCTACCCACTGCCCTACAGACCGCTGAGGCTCTGTTTACCCATGTCTTCCGGCATTACGGGGTACCCGAGGATATAGTGTCTGACCGAGGCCCCCAGTTCACCTCCAGAGTGTGGAGAGCGTTTATGGAACGGTTGGGGGTTTCGGTAAGCCTTACCTCGGGTTACCACCCGGAGAGTAATGGGCAGGTTGAACGTGTTAACCAGGAGGTGGGTAGGTTTCTGAGGTCTTATTGCCAGGGCCGGCCGGAGGAGTGGGCGAGATACGTTCCGTGGGCCGAAATGGCACAGAACTCTCTCCGCCACTCCTCCACCCAACTAACCCCTTTCCAGTGTGTGTTAGGGTACCAGCCGGTTCTGGCACCTTGGCACGAGAGCCAGATCGAGGCCCCTGCGGTGGATGAATGGGTACGGCGCTCGGAGGAAACATGGAACGCTGCCCACGTACATCTGCAGCGGGCCATCCGTCGGCAGAAAACGAGCGCCGATCTCCACCGCAGTGAGGGGCCTGTGTACGCACCTGGAGATCGAGTCTGGCTCTCGACCAGAAACCTGCCCCTCCGCCTGCCCTGCCGGAAGGTGGGTCGGCGGTTTGTGGGGCCATTCAAAGTCCTGAGGAGGTTGAACGAGGTGTGTTACAGGTTAGAACTGCCTATTGACTATAGGAATATTAACCCCTCGTTCCATGTGTCTCTCCTCAGGCCGGTGGTAGCTGGTCCACTCCAGGAGTATGAGATAGAGGAGACTCCTCCGCCCCCGTTGGACATCGAGGGGGCTCCGGCGTACACTGTGAGGTCCATCCTTGATTCGAGACGCCGGATGGGGGGTCTTCAATATCTCGTGGAGTGGGAGGGGTACGGCCCGGAGGAGCGGTGCTGGGTGCCAAGGAGGGACATATTGGAGCAGTCCCTGCTGACCGAGTTCCATCGGGGTCATCCTGCGCGCCCTGCTCCGCGTCGTCCGGGTCGTCCCCGAGCCCCGGGTCGGCGCACGGCTGGAGCCGCGCGTCAAGGGGGGGGTACTGTCACGGTTTCGGCCGAGGCTGCTCCTCCTCCTTGTTCGGGCAGGCTTCGGCGGTCGTCGTCTCCGGAGTACTAGCTGCCACCGTTCTATGTTTCATGTTCGTTTGGTTTTGTCTGTTTGTAACACCTGTCCCTTGTTTGTGTTGGATTGTGTTCCCTATTTAGTTTCGTTTATTCGGGTCAGGTGTTATGTGTGATTGTTATTGTCAGCTTGCCTCTGAGGAGTTTTCTCTCTCGTTTGTTGTTATTTCGAGAGTTCGCACTGCGTGCGCTTTTTCTTGTTTTCCGCACTGTGTGTTGTGCGTAATTGTTCGTGCCGCCCGGTTGGGTTGGCAACTCATTCCTGTTTTGGAAAGTACTAAAAGTCTGTTGAAGAACATCCTTGTCCCTGCGCTTGATTCCCTTCACTACATCCACACGCAACACTCTGACACTGTGGATATTGTTTGTGTTTTGAGCTGTGAAAATGAATGACGAATTACATTAAATTAACTAAATTGAGATTGTACCTGCTGTGTTTATTGGCCTGTCCTGTGCTTTCCTGGCTCAAACATTCAAACTTATAAATATCTTGAAATGTCTTGGTGGTAAGACCAAGGCAACATGGCGGAGAACAGTTGAGACTGAGCTTCAGTAACAACAGCAGAGTTTGGGTAAAGTGGAAAAGATGGTCAAAGACAGAAGTGGAGAGCCTTTGTTTCTGCACTATGCACTAGCAAGGGTGACAGGAATGAGTGAGAGAGTGGAAACTATTTGTCCTTTGCTTATTGTGTTTTCCATGTTCCAAATCAGTGTCTGATTTTATTTACCTTATTATGCTAATACAGAAAATATACTTTTTGGGGGTCAATTATGCAGATAAACAATATTATACAAGCCAAGCAGCTGAATATTAAAGCAGTGAGGTTATTGTTTGGGGTCCTGT